TCTTCTCCATAAGCTTTTCTTCTGCATTTCAAGTTTGGCATGCTGATCTTCTTCATAAATTCTCTTCTTATGGTGTATCAGGTGACATCTTTAAGACCATTGAATCTTTTTTTACTAATCATAGTATAAATGTTGTCCTCATTGGACAGCACCCTTCTTTTTTTCCTGTAACTTTAGGGGTTCCTAAAAGTTCCATCATAGGCTTTATACATTATTTTACATTAGCGGTCTCCCAAAAATTCTCACATCTAAGGTGGCATTGTATACTGATGATCTAAGGTGGCATTGTACGCTGATTTATTCTTGTCTTGATGAGAAGCCAACACTTTCTGATTGTTTTGAGGGGGCATTTGAGCTTGAAAAGTATCTCACTTCTGCTACTGCATGGAGCTCTCAGTGGCTGGTGAACTTTAACTCAGATATAACTCAATTTTTTCATCGTTATTGTAATAATCTAGATATTCCTTTATTTATCAACAGTACTTGATGAGTCATCTACTCTTCATCTTCTAAAATTAACTCTTTTTTTTTTTTAATTTGTTTATTTTAAACTTAAGCCTTCGTTTTTCCATATTTTCTTGAGTATAAATAAAACATTGCCGTTTTTATTTTAATTATTTTGTTTAGAATTTAAATTAACATTAGTTTTGCTGTATTAATTTTAATTATTTTATTTAGAATATAAATAAATTATTTTATTTGGAATTAAAATAAGATTTTTTTTCTTGAAGTATTTTATTTTAAGATGTTTGTTTAGATAAAATATAAATTAATTTTTGTTTTTGCTGTTTTTTATTTTATTTTATTTAGAAAATAAGTAAAATGTTTGTTTTGCCGATTTTATTTTATTTAGAATTAAAATAAAACTTGCTGTTTTTTTTTTGTTTTGTTTTTTTAAATTATTTTATATTAAATAAGTTGTTTGTTCATTTTAGTATAAGTTCATTTTAATATAATTTTAATGTTAATTTAATTATTTTAATTTTCTGTATTTCAAATGTTTTTCTATTAATTAATATTAAACTTTGACAAGCAAATACTACCGATCAAATTTGATCAGCCAGATTTAATTTTAGGCAATCATAATGACAATTTTTTTAAAAGTAGCCGATCATTGATCGACTGCTATTTCGAGCACTGCAAAGATGTTAAAAAAAATTTATTTATGTCTGGCCTCTGATCCTAGCTTGTGTTTAGTTTCTCCTTAATCTCCTCAGTTTCTCCTTTATCTCCTTTAGGTGACCATGATCTCTTTAAGTATTTTATCTTGTACTTCTTTTTCGAACCTTATCATCGCACTACTACCGCTACTACCCTAAAGCTGTTTAGGATTCTTTTTGTGATTTTCTTATTGATGGTCCTTGGGCTGATGTCTTTTTAACCTCAGCAAATAAATGTGCCTCCTACGTAACTTCCTGGATTCAGGCAGGAATTGATTTTTCCTTCTTGTTGGTTCCAAGTCAAGCCTCCTTCTGCTCCCTGGTTTTCACCTTCTTGAGGAGCTGCTATTTCTAATCGTAATCATTTTTTCATTCTTTTCAAAAGAACAACTCCCTTGTTAACAAACAGCTATATATTATTGCAAGAAATCAATGTAAAAAAGTGCTCTCTGATGCTAAGCTCTATTATTCTCAGTTCACTAAGTCTCATATCTCAGTTCACTAAATCTCATATCTCAGTTCACTAAGTCTCATATCTCAGTTCACTAAATCTCATATCTCAGTTCACTAAATCTCATATCTCAGTTCACTAAATCTCATATCTCAGTTCACTAAATCTCATATCTCAGTTCACTAAATCTCATATCTCAGTTTACTAAATCTCATATCTCAGTTCACTAAATCTCATATCTCAGTTCACTAAATCTCATATCTCAGTTCACTAAATCTCATATCTCAGTTCACTAAATCTCATATCTCAGTTCACTAAATCTCATATCTCAGTTCACTAAATCTCATATCTCAGTTCACTAAATCTCATATCTCAGTTCACTAAATCTCATATCTCAGTTCACTAAATCTCATATCTCAGTTCACTAAATCTCATATCTCAGTTCACTAAATCTCATATCTCAGTTCACTAAATCTCATATCCCAGTTCACTAAATCTCATATCTCAGTTCACTAAATCTCATATCTCAGTTCACTAAATCTATTTATCTTAGAAGTTAGGCTCTTGAGACTTTTAGAAAATCTTCAACAATTAACAAAAGTAGATCTAACATTCCATCTCTCATTCATGGGACTGAACATTCTGTCCCCTCCAATTATTGTCCAATCAGCAGGGTTGGAAAAAACCCAGGGTTTTTTAAAAAAACCCAACCTAAATGAAACCATAAAACCCAAAAAACCCAATAACCCCCCCCCCCCTAAAAAAATTTTTTTTTTTTAAATTAGGTTTTATGGGTTTTTTGGGTTCTTTTAAAAACTGATCAATATACCAAATTTTTATAATTGTTTGTGTACAGTAATTTTTTTTAATTTCATAAATTCACCTTCCTATTGCTCCAGTGACCACTTTTTAAAAATTTTGCCTCAATCCTTAACTTAGAACATAACATTACCATTTTTACTAACAAACAACATTAAGAACTAAAATTTTTAAACACGGGCGCTGTGTGAAGAAATAGATTGAGCACAGTAATTTTAGCAGAGGTAATTTGAAACTCAACCTTTTGATTGCAAGTTATATGTTTTACCACTACAACATTATATCTATTGTGCAAAATGGGACTCTATCATCTATATATAATGATGTTAATTAATTGTACTAAATTAAAAACATGTTCAGAATATTTTTGACTAAAAAAAAATCACTATAAAAATTATGACAATTGAGTTATTCAAAGTTGGTAAGACAATATAAATGTTTCAAACTAGTTTTTTATACTAAAATGTTCAACATATTATTTCAAAAATTAGTTTGCATAAGTTTACAACATGTAATCAACAAGTTTGCAATATGATATTGCAACCTTGTAAACTTTTGTCAATCAGGATAACTATGAACACTTTTTAAACATTTTTGCATCATAGAAAAAAACTGTTACCCTAATCACTACTTTTTTTTTTAACAGAACATTTTACTGTCCAGCTTCCTGGAAAAGTTATAGGCCTGATCAAAATTATCCAGTAATTGTCTTAATTTTATTATTTTATATGATCAAATCCGTATTTTTAAAATGGTGTGAGAATAATCATTAGCCGATTTGGAGTGACATTGACACTTCATAATGTTGATTATTCCTAAAATAAATTTGATAAGAACCATTGCAGTGTCTTCAACACCAGATTATTTTTTTTCCTTGAAGATGTTTAATCACCTCAGTTTTGCAACTGAATCAAAGTAATACAATATGTAGCTCTATTGTGTGTGTTTCTTCACCTTTTAGCAAACTTATAGCTGATTTAAAATTTTTAAAACCTTTAAAATAAGTGAAGTGCATACAAGTTTCCAACATGTTTTCTGATTAAATGAGCAAACATGTTGCAAACTTGCTTGCAAATAACAAATGTTTAACCTAAAAAAAAATTATTTTTTTTTAGGTTAAAATTCACAAGCGACTGCAGTTATTTACAGCAAACAACTTTTGCAATTTTTTCGACATTCCTATATTAATGAATGGCAACCCTCTCAGTGAGTCCTTGTCTTTATGTCTTTTTGGATTATCGCTTACGACTGACCTTTCATGGAATCATATAGACAATTGATTACTAAATTAGTATCGCTAAGGTTGCTTCTCTTTATTGTGCTTGCCATTTTCTTACTCCTGATTCCTTTCTCTACCTCTACATATCTCTTATTCGTCACTTTCTGGAATATAATTGTCATATTTAGGCCGGTTCTTTTAATGATGCTCTTTCTCTTCTAAACAAGGTCTAAAAATGTATTATAAAAGTAGTTGGACCCGCTCTATCTGTTAAGCTTGAGCTTCTTTTCCATTGTCATAAAGTTGCATCTCTTTCTCTTTTCTACAAATACTATCATGGTCGCTGCTCAATGGAGCTATCATCTAGTTCCATCAACCAAAATTCATTCTCACTTGACTCATCATTTAGCTCTCATTTGTTTACTGCACTTGTCCCTACATGCTCTGAAAACTTTTATTTTTTTCCTCGCACTTCAAGCCTTTAGAACTCTCTCCTATCTTCATGTTTTCCTGATTCATACAACTTATACAACAAGTTTTCAAGTCTTTCAAGTTGTCAAGTCAACCGTTTCCATTTTTTTCCAACTTCCATTCATTTTAATATAATTTTGATGTTAATTTAATATTTTTAACTTTCTGTATTTCAAATGTTTTTCTATTAATTATTATTAAAGTTTGACAAACAAATACTGCTGATCAAATTTGATCGGCCAGATTTAATTTTAGGCGATCAAAATGTCAATTTTTTTCAAAGTAGCCGATCATTGATTGTTGATCGGCCGCTATTTCAAGTGCTGATATATGTATATATATATATATATATATATATATATATATATATATATATATATATATATATATATATATATATATATATATATATATACATACATACATACATACATACATACATATATATATATATATATATATATATATATATATATATATATATATATATATATATATATATATATATATATATAACTTACAGAACAATTTTTAAGGATTTATATTTTTTTATTTCTTAAATGTAGTTTTATTATAATTTACTTTCTTGTATTATATCTACTGTATATAATACAAGAAAGTAAATTATAATAAGACTACATTTTGTTTTAATAAAAAACTAATAATAAATAAAAATATTTATGATAACAGTATTTGTATATGTATATGTGTGTGTGTTTGTGTGTGTGTGTGTGTGTGTGTGTCTATATATATATATATATATATATATATATATATATATATATATATATATATATATATATATATATATAGACACACACACACATACACACACACATACACACACACATGTAAAATCTTTAAGTTTTTATTTGTTTAGGGTTCATTTGGTTCAGTTTTCAAATGTTTATGTCACAAAGACAACTGTTTTTATGTATGTACATTTTGATTTAAACAAAACTTCTTGTTTTATTTTTTATTTAGATTACTTAATTTAATTATTTAAAAAGAAAAAGTAAAAAAAAAAATTATAAAGTTCATAAAACTTCATAAAGCTTTGTTAACAAGAAGAGTATTTTGTGTAATTAAATTTTTTTTTTTTACAAATGTAAAATAATTTTTTTTTTAAAAGATTGTAATCTTATTGCTACCATGTTGATGAAACGTTGTGAAATACTAGTTTAATAAAAAAAAAAAGTTTAATTAAAATTTCCATGTTTTACTATAACATGTGGCAGTGGTCTAGGGGAAGTGTAACACCACTAGCTCATGTTGCTGTAGTGTAGTAGGTTATTACACTTGAACAACATGCAGTAATGGTTTATTGGTAGAGTGCTCGCTTCATAAGTGAGAAGTTTCTATCCCCACCACATCCCTGGTTGTTCTATGTTCAACTTGTTTCTCTGTGCAGCAGCCTTTTTTTTCAAGATTCTTGTTTAAGAGTTAAGAGAGGGTTGTAACCACAAAAAGTGGAGATTGATAACATTTTTTTTAAAAAAGATTTATAAATATTTTAGTCACTATGACATTTTAATATAAATTACACAAATATTTTGAACTAATTTAAAAACATCTTGAGATTTACTTTAAGGTTTATCAGGCAATAAGAATACATTTTTGTTGTTTTCATAATTGCCAAATCTAGTAAAATATTTAATGCTCTTGAAAATACATTAAGCATTTTACTTTTATATTACAAATTGTTGATAAGTTGATTTATTTTTTATAATTTAATTAGAAAATATTTTTCTTAATACTCAGACGTCGATTGTTTATTTGTAGGCAATGAAGATAATCAGCAAAAAAAGATTGATGAGAAAGAATGGTTTGATGGGTAATTTTTATATGATTTCAAAACTTTTTACTGTTAAAATTATTTGTATAAAGATGATTTTTTTCAACCTCAATTATATTTTTATTTTAACTGTAAAAAATATTTTTATCTGAACAATTATTCATAACACAATTAAACTGTTCAATTATTGATAACTCATTTTTAGCTGTATAATTACTGGTAACACATTTTTATCTGTACATTTATTGATAACACATTTTTAACTGTACAATTTTTGATAACACATTTTTAACTGTACATTTATTGATAACACATTTTTAACTGTACAATTATTGATAACACATTTTTAACTGTGTAATTATTGATAACACATTTTTAACTGTACAATTATTGATAAAACAATATCTGTATGATAAAAAAAAACATCAAATTTATAGCCCGAAATCCAAGAGCTACAAAAAATAATCCATTGGCTCCACTTAATAGAGAAATTGCTATTTTAAAAAAGATGGATCATCCAAATGTTGTCAAGTTGATTGAAGTAAAATTTTAAAACTTTTCAAAAATTAAAATGTTTATTTCAGAAATTTCATATAAAATTTGAAAAATAATTGAAACTGCATATACTTTATATCATTCACATAATGGAAATTTTTTCTTGTTTGATTTGTTTTGAAAAAGAAATGTTTTTAGTGGCCTATTTTTTTTTTTTTTTTTTTTTATTTTAATTCACCTCCTCAAGGCCGAGAAGGCCACTACAGACGAGGAGGCTACTTATTTGTGGTTATAACCCTCTCTCAACTCTATAACTCCGAAACACGAACCTTGACGAGCAAGGCCGCTGCGCGGAGAAACGAGTTGAGCGCGGTACTACCAGGGACGTGGTGGGGATCGAACTCGGAACCACTCGTTTATGAAGCGAGCGCTCTACCACTACACCACTACCGCATATTATTACTATTAAAATAAACTTTTCAAAAAAGTCACTTAAATAAAGTCCTATTTTGAATTTAATTTTTTTTTTTGTTAGGTTATAGAAGACACCCAAGTTGATAATGTTTATATGGGTATTGTCTATTTTTATTTAGTGTAATTGATTTTAATATTAACATTTTAATTATTTACTGTCAAGAAGGGAAAATCATATTGAAATTTGTGCTATTAAGCACAATTTTTTTTAATATCAGAAAGCTTGGAATTGATATCAAATATATACTATGTATACATTTGATATTTTATGTGACAAAAAATATTTCAAGTGAATATCAAGTAAAATTTTTAATTAAAAACAGAAAAAAAGTTTGATGGTTAAAATATTTTATTTTAAAATTTTATTCCAAACTTCATTTTTAAAAACAAAATTTAATGAAAGTTGAAAAGTAAAAAAATAATTTACAGATTAGTGCAAATAGTGAGGACTTCCAGATGTGAAATTGTGAGGACCAGAAATAGTGAGATGTTGTTATTATTACATTGTTTATTGTTTTTCCCATCATGACTTATAAAGCATTTGCATAAACATGGTTTTTATTAAATTTGTTTTTTTATTTTTAATAGTGTTTGAACTAATAAAGAATGGGTAAGAATGAATTTTTTGTTTTATTTTTTTATAAAAAGTATTTATTTTAAACTAAACTAATAAATAATGGGTAAGAATTAATTTTTTATTTTTTTATAAAAATTTATTTTTAAAAATCTAATGCATATTGTTAGAGTTGTTATGGAAGTTCCAAGTGAAAGTGTGATAGCAGAAGAAAAAGCCAGACAATACTTTCGTGATTTAGTTTTGGGAATAGAATATTGTAAGTGAAAGATTGTAAAATAAAATAATTTTTTGTAGGAATAATGAGATTTTTTAATTATGAATAAATTTCAATTTAAACATGAAGTACAGGGTGTTTAAGAAGTTGTGTAGATAGTTATGATTTAAATTATTTAAACAAATAATAAAGAATGTTTTTTATAATTTTATTTATAAGTATATTTATCAAAAAAAAAAGCTTGTGGCTATTCAACTTGTATACAATCTAGCTCTTAGCATTGTTTCAAACAAACTACTATTTTTATGCAGGCTTTTCTAAATATGTCTATGCCTGTACAAATCTGCACACGCTTGTTCAACCAGCTCATGAAGTTTACTAATTGTAGAGGGTTTTTCTTGTATACAATATTCTTTAAGTAGGCCCAAAAGAAAAAGTCTGTCAGAGCTAGATTGGGAGATTAAGCAGGCTATTCAATTTGACTTTATCTGCTTATCCATTGTTGAAGGAACTTTCAATAAGGCCAACTTTTTACCTGACAGAAAAAATGGGCAGATGCCCATATCTTGTTAAAAGTGCATATCAAATTGTTTAACTTGAGGCTTTTCAAGCTTATGTAGACTCTTCAAGCATTTGTAAATGCTTAAAACTCTTAAAACTCTTTAAGTATTTGTAAATATAATTCACATGTGATCAAAACATTGAAAAAGAGTTATGCCACACAACACTATTACTCCATTCTTTGAGATGGGCACATGTATTTTTTTGTGCTAATTAGAGTAGGCCTAATAGCAATAATTATGATGGTTTGTAATGCCATTCAGCATGAATTGGCTTACAATGGAATAAATAATCTTTTTTTGCAAGTTAATATTTTTTTCAAACTTTGACAACATGGCATCAAAATATTCCATTCTTTTGTTGAAATCATTTTCATTTAGCTCTTGCACTGTACTAGGTTTGGAAAGTGGAAAGCCTACTTTTTGAATAATAATACCTGCTTGTGTTTATCCCCTTTTTGATAGCACCCTTTCAAATTGACAAATAATTTGTTTCTTATACCATTTCTCTAACGTTTTGAATATCTTTCTTGGTAACAAAAGAAGAAGAACAGTCACATCTTTCTTGATTGTGAAAACTATCTGTTGGAGTGGTAAGATGATTATTTCATTTCTTTCTAACCTCTTAAAAATTCTCAAATTTTGCAAATAAAAAATATTTTGAATTCTCCCTTTGATTGAAAGTTGTGAATTTATGCTTTTTGTATAAATATCTTAATTAATAATTAAACTTTTAGATATGCATAGGTTTTTCATATATTATGGTAATTAAGAGTAATATTAAATTAAAAGTGCATATATTTACACAAATATATATATATATATATATATATATATATATATATATATATATATATATATATATATATATATATATATATATATGTATACATATATATATATATATATATATATATATATATATATATATATATATATATATATATATATATATATATATATATATATATATATATATATATATATATATATATATATATATATAAATTAAAATCTTTAATATAAAATCTATTACATATAAGTTATATTGTTATTTTGTTTGCAAAAGAAAAAAAATAAGAAATAAGAGTACTATAGAATTTTTTTAATTTTTAGCATAAGCAAAAAGACTCTAACTGACTTTTAGGCAACTGCTTTGCTTTAAGTAGTTTAAATTTTTGAAATAGTTTTTATTTTATTTGTATTTAAAACTTTTTAAAAGTTTTAAACTTTAAAACTTTAAATCTTCATAAGAGTTTATTTATAAAATAGATATGATATTTTTATTTCTCAATGGCAATATTAAAACATATAAGTTAGTTTAAAAACTTTAAAGCATAAGTGGCGATGACATTTGTCTGACGGGATAAACTAGTTATAAATGCTGATCCTCATCGAAATGCCAGTAATAATAGACGAGACTCTGAGGAGATGTTTATTACTTAATCACTACACAAACTATGTTTACACATTAGCATTAATGTTTTTTTTTTCCATTATTATATGCCTTTCATTGTTGTTATCATATTTTCTATTTTGTGATCGGTTTTTTGTTTTATAAGTTTTTGTCTGGTGATGTATATCTTCGTTCATATTGGTGTTTATAAAACAATTTTTTTTTTTTTTTAATTTTTTTTTTAATTTATTATTATTATTATTTTTTTTTATTGTTATTATTGTTGTGGGTGTATAGCCTGTCTTATTTATTTTTAAATATTCCTCTATTAATCTTTATTTTTGTCTTGACAACTGTCAAAATATGCTTTGTCTAATAAATAATTCTCCTTTATTCTAATGTACTTCATTTCTTCCCTCAGGCGTTCACTGCTCGTGTGTGACCATTCGGCGAATTTTATATGCCAAAGTTTTTAAATAATATTGGGCCTAGCCCATAAGGGTTAGTGTTACGGTCATCGAGCATGACTGTTTTCCTAATCGCAATTACTGTCACAGTGAAAGAGGATGTTTGTCTGTGGAAGATGCCTGGGCTAGCTTTTTAGTCATAAGTCAGTTCTAAATCCATGCATAGGTGTTTAATCCATCATGGTTTTCTGGAGTATGGCTGGGCTGGCTTGGTTTGGTTCAGAGACAAATCTTTTACGCTGGTTACTAACAATACAAGACTCTACTGAACGACATAAACAGCACAGACTTATACATTACACCTATACACCCTTATGTACATAAAGCCTATTTACATCGTTTGCATGCTTTTTGTTTTTTTATAGATAAACTATCTTTGTTTGAACTCATCCTTATTTAAATAATATTTTCTTTTAATAGATAATATGTGGTTGAAATGTTGATATAGATTTGTATGTTATCTCTATGTGTTTATCATGTGTGATTGAGTTTTTCATTTAAGGATTCATATATATATATATATATATATATATATATATATATATATATATATAAATATAAGAGCGATTCTTATAAACTAGCGGCTTTTGACATGTTTTTATGATGTATGTTTTTCCTTGTTATTTTGTTATGGTCTCAAAATTACATTTTATTCGTACCCTAGAGAAAACTTTTCTTTTCGGAAGTTTCGATTTAGATATGGTCTCAAAATTACTTTTAATTCGGACCGTAGAGGAAATATTACTTTTTGGAAATTTTGATTTAGATATGGTTTCAAAGTTTCTTTTAGTTCGGACCGTAGAGAAGACTTCACTTTTTGATAATTTTTTTTTTTTTCCCGCTTTGTACATTGTTTTTACATTACGACTTATATCATTGTTATATTATCGACGTCTAGTTTTTTCACCACTCATTTGGCTTAAAATTATCTGGTTTTATTGCAATATTTAGTTAGTCTTGTTGCAGTGTTTGTTGATATATTATTTATCTCCTGATTTTCATATTATTACTGTTTGTTGCATTCATTGCTCAGCTTTGTTTTAATTTTCACATGCACATTTTTCATGTTTATTATTATTCAGAGTATATTTTTATATCCTTCATTAAATGTTTACATATATGCCGCTTACATTTTTAGGGTTTTTGTGCAACGTTCTTTTTCGCTATCATATATTTTTCAATTATTGTTATGATTATGGGTTTCGCGGGCTGCTCATTTTCCTACACTTTTGATTGGTTGTCATATTTCGAATGAGGTATCTATGACAGTGTTAGAGTTTATTTAAGGCTATTGTTGTTTTGTTTGAAAAAAAATTGTTTAATGAGTTATTCTGCTTTCTGATAATACCTATTTGGTTTTATTTCTTAAAATAAATTTATGAAATTTTTTTTATGTTTCTATTAGAATTTTAATTTATTTTGTTTTCATGTTTTCTTTTGGTGGTATGGTAAGTTTTTTATTTAATTATTTTTATTTTTGTTTGTTTAGTAAATCTACACTTTTTATATCATATCATCAAAAAAATATTGGTGCTTCACAAATTTGGGGTTGGTTGGGTTTTGGCTATTTGTAGTGAGTCCTTTTTTACTGCAGTAAAAGTTTTTACTGCAGTAAGTTTTTAAATAAACTTTAAAACTTTAAATCTTCATAAGAGTTGATATTTTTATTTCTCAATGGCAATATTAAAACATATAAGTTAGTTTAAACAGTTAAGTAATTAGTATTCAATCCAATCAGATTAAATTAAAATCTCTTTAGTTAACTTTAGTAGTAAAAAATACTTTGTAGATATATATTCAGAGAGTTATTCTTAAACAAGTAGATGGTGTAAAATATCTTTAAATCAATAGTATAAAACCATCTATTTGATTGTGGATCATCGAATCATCAGTGTGATTTTGATATCAGTGGAGATCATCTAGTCATTAGTGTGATTTTGATTTTAGTATTGACCATCCAATCATCAGTGTGATTTTGATTTCAGTGTGGATTATCTAATCATCAGTGTGAACTTGAAATAAGGCTCTTAAACATTGTTTTGATTTTGGTTTATTTTAAGCGCTCAGTTTTTAAAATTTTATTTCTTGCAGATAGTGTCAACAAAACCTAGTTGTAAAAATTTTTAACTGTTCTAGAATGTTCTTCTGAAATTCAATTAAAAAGTTTAAAAATTATCTTTTTACATATTTTTCGAAAACTTTTTACACAAGTTTCTAAAATTAAAAGTATATGTATTTAGTGCATTATTCGAAAATTATCCATCGAGACATTAAACCATCAAATCTTTTGTTAGATGAAAGTGATCACATTAAGGTGAAATATAAATTGTTTGTAATTTATTCTTTTTATATAAATTTATAAATATTAGAATTATATATCATTTAAAGAAGAATCTGAGAGAAGTAGTTTATTGAGTCATGTTCATATTTATGTAATTGAACTTCAGAAAATATTTTAATTTTAAATTAAGAATCATATTTTACAATTATTTAAGGATGTAGAACAGACTTCAAGAACTTAAAGGCTTTTTAATTTGTCTATGAATTTGCATATCTGTACATGGAAGACAGGTATTAGTTCAGATAATTTGATTAGCAAATTATTTCTGATGCCAAAATTTTGATATTAACTTACTACTTGAGGCTCATTTACATTATAAAGGATACAATGAAATACTAATCTCAGATTCTAAGTTTAAACATAGTTTTAATACTTTGTAAAGAATAGGTTTTATTTCTTTTCACATACATTTTTTTTGTTTATATTTTTATCTATTTAAATATTTGGTTATATATTTAAATATTTTGTTATATATTTAAATATTTTGTTATATATTTAAATATTTTGTTATATATTTAAATATTTTATTATATATTTAAATATTTTATTATATATTTAAATATTTTATTATATATTTAAATATTTTGTTATATATTTAAATATTTGTTTTGTATGTTTGCTTTGCTTGTTTAATTATTTCATATTTTATATACTTGTTTATATTCTTTATTTTTATATTCTTATTTAGTTAAATTTTCAAAGAATTTAATGAAAAATATAATCCTAACCCTGACCTTGTTCTGACTTAGCTGTTGTCATTCTATACATTTTTTTATAAAATTAAATTAAGAAAAAAAGAAAAGAAAAGAAAAAAACAAACGCTAATAAAACAAAAGTAATTGCTGTTCCAACCCAAACCCTTAGTTGATGTAGGGGCACACCCTATTAGTTCTACCTAAATATTCAGTCGATGTATGATGCCTTTGCAATGTCGTATTTTAATATGACATGCCGCTTAGCTAAATATGTGATATTATATTTATACACACACTTACATTTGTATATTTAAATCAGCATTTGGAAAGCAAAAATGCAACTTGAATCTATACGGTTTTTCGGAAATAAAGAAGAAAATGAAATATAATGGAAAAATGGTTGCTTTCCCACTCAAAACCCTTAGTTGATGTAGCAGCACTCCCTTGCATATCATTTTTATTCGATTTTTTTCAAGACTAATGAAAAAAATATTCAACCCAAACCCTTATTCGATGTAGGTACACTCCCTTGCATGTTCTCCCTAGATATTCAGTTGATCTATGCACTGAAGCCCTCACAGCCTTTCATTCCAGCATGATGTCTGATTGCTAAGCTAAGTGTACAATACTGTTTGTAAATATTTTTAAAATTTTTTTTTGCTGACTTAAGTCCATATGGTTATTTTGCAAAAAAAAAAAAAAAAAAGAAATAAAGAATAATGAAAAAACTTATCGCTGCTCATATAAAACTGGATGATAAGAATATATAAATGTAATATAAAAAATTGGGTAAAAAGAAAAACTTCTTAACCAGTTAATAGAAAATAAAGTCTTTGTTGTTGTTGTTTTTTTTCCAAATCTTTTACTTCTTAACTTTGTTAACCTTTCTGCTATCAGTCTACCACCGTTATAGTTTACCACGATTGTTTCAAATGTTTTTTCTGGCAACAATATCAAGTTCCTTATATAAGACACTTAAATCTCATTTATAACTTTTATCATAATGAAGTTCTGGAGGTTTAGATACATCAAGTGCAAACATTGTTTCTATCTTAAGGAGATACATCAAGTTCATACATCTTTCTTATCTTAGAAGATATAAACATTCTTTCAGAGTTGCATAGAACATTTTTTAAATGCATTTTCAGCAAAGTTTTTATACAAGTTTTTCAGTTTATTAAAGGTTCTCAGTTCTCCAAGAGAAGTGTGCCATAAAATAGACAAGAATATTTTTCTCCATTTCTACTCAAAACTATATTGGGTAATTTATGTTGCCAGGTAGAATTTTAAATTGTTTATTTTCTCTGATAATTTTGTGCTATTAGATAACATTTTTGACAAAAGTTAATATTAGAACTTTATTGTTACCAGTATTCTTGGTTTATTTAAAGTCAAAATACACTTCTCTATTATAAACATTCATTATAAATTTCTTTTTTTTTTACTACTATCTATTTCCACAAGGATGATAACTTTATCAATTTCTAGTCCTCTTGCAGTGCAAACATGATCAAACATAATTTTGGACCATCAAACATGATATTGGACTTAACACATATGCTTTAATTACAGTTTCCATAGTTTTAGAAAGAACTAGGTTATACGTCTAATCTACCCAAATCTTTTGTATATTTATTAATCTTTTGTGAGACATGGTTTGACCTTTTGTTTTCACTTATAATTAAAAACTACTGGACTCAAATAAATAATATAAATTATAAATATAATCGACTACTCTAATCCCAATTATATTTCAAAACTTTTAGTTTTAATAACAAGACATCTAACTCACCAAGTTTGTTACTTGTTTCAATTGAAAATAATAGTTATAGAGGCATTATGTATCAGGAACTATCAATTAAATTCTTTGTTTAAGTGTGTATTTTTTTGCAATGATTGTACCTCTGCTCAGCAGAGTATAGATTGTACCTCTGCTCAGCAGAGTATAGATTGTACCTCTGCTCAGCAAATGTAGTTTAGAGAATTAAATATTCATCTATTGAAGAACTCAAACTCTCTATCTATTGACTATTCCCTGCAGAGTATTCTGAGATCAGAAGAAAAGTGTTTGCTCAATCAAAACTGAGCGTCTCAATGACCACTTGTTGGAGTCCAAGACAATGTTCTTAATTAAAATCAGCACATATTCTTAAACAAACTCTGCTTTTACTCAAACCCAACTTTATTCAATAATAAGATTAGCAAACTCAAGACTCAGTTATGACTCAGCTGTTTTGCTAATGTTTTGTGAGAGGTTTGACCCTCTGTTTCCACTCATAATAAAAATCATCAGACACCTTTCAATTTTTCATGTAAAACGCAAAGGGTGTATCTATTTTTAAAATAACTATATTGTATTAGTACGCCGGTTGAATAAAAAAAAAACAATTGCTTTTACATAGTAATTGGTCAAATTTAAATAAGTGAAAACTTCAGGAATTTGTTCAAACTTTTATTCACGTAAAGCTGAACAATAACTCAGCGGTTTTTTTGGAGTAAATTGCTCAACTTTACGTGAATAAAAATTTGAGCAATTTTGCTCAAATTTTTGTTCATGTAAAGCTGAACAATTACTCCAAAAACATTAAGTAAAAGCAATTGCTTTTTTATTCACTCTGCCTAGTGTTACAGCCTCTCAGCTATTGGCTAACTATTATTACTTTGAATGTAAACGTTTTCAAAATGTAAAAGATTTCTGTAAAACTAACTGTAAAAGTAATAAATTTCTAATTGTTTTAGCACTATAATAAACTTTTGCTGTTGTCAATGTATTATTAAGACATTCTAATTTCTTTAGATTGCTGATTTTGGAGTTTCAGATATGTTTGAAGGGGAAGATGATTCTTTAAACAAATATGCTGGATCTCCAGCATTTCAAGCTCCTGAAGTACTTGACCATCGTTAGTTGCTTTATTATGTTAAGTTACTCTTTATTATGTAATTATTAAATTTAATGTGTAAATATTGAAAGGATATATAAAAATGTTTTTTTAATTATATTTTAGTATAAGATTGCCTTATGTTATTTTATATTAATTTATATTAATATTATTTTAGTTTTTATATTAATTTAGAATTTATAATTCTACATAATATAAATTTTCAAAATGTTTTGAAGAAAAACTAGCTGTATATAATGAATTTTCTTTATTACAAAAAACAAATTTTTTAACTTATATTATGTTGTATTATCAAAAGAATTTTAATTTTTAAGGTTTTCGTGATAAATACAGTGGAAAAGCTGCAGATGTATGGTCAATGGGAATTACATTATATTGTTTTCTCTATGGACAAGTAATTTGATATTAATGTAATATAAAAAATATATATATTATATAAATATACATGTTGTATAATATAGATGTTGTATAATTTCAGAAAATAAGTTTTTGATAAATACCTTTATCATTATTCTGAATCACCATTTTGCCAATTGCAAAATGCAAAACTCAGTGACTTCTTAAAGAGTGTTTAGTTCTCAAAAAAAGATAATTGTCCAAACATATTTTACTATAAACAAAATTTTGAAGGTGATTGTTTAACAAAAATATATTAACCATTAGTTTTAGGTATATTGTTATTTAAATGATTGTGACCACTAATAATTGAAATTTTTTAAACCCATTTGATTCACCATTGATATCATAAAGAATGGGAGTTAAAATCAAGGAATGATTAAAAACTCAGCACAGTTTAATTATTAACTTGTTCAAGCAAGGTAAAACATTCAGGTTTACAAAAAAATGGCATAAGAAATCATCAGCAACTTGATTAGTTTCAAAAGTTTAGCAACACAATAACTTCCTCATTATTTAGTTATAAAATTGCATTTAAAAGCTCGTGAATATTATGAAATTTTTTAAAACTATAATATTGCTATTTTAACCTTATTTTATTATGTGTTTTGTAGTATTTATTATAGCATTGTTATAACATTTTATTATAGCATTATTTGCGTCTGATAACAATCTATTCTATTAAGATCTGAATACAATAAAAAGTGTTTTTTTTTCAACACTGTTTGCTTTCAGCAAGGCTGCAAGCAACCACTATTAGATTTGGAAGTTACTGGAAGAGAAAAGATAGAAACAATTAAGCTATTGTTATTTATGTTTTCTATGGAATGACTGCTAAAAGAAAGATTTTAATCAACTTTTTTTGATTTCATAATTCCCTTACAAAAAGTTTGAGTTGACTAAAGAAGTTTGCTGAAAAGGACAAAAAAAATGGTTAACAAAAATTAAGTTATCTGATGTTCAAATAACTGGAGAATTTTAATAGTAATCAATTAGACAATTAGGAATGAAATGAAACAGTTTGAGATAACATAAGTTTGAGTTAACCGGTGTTTCGACCAGAACTTAACTGTATTATTTGAAATATAATGTTTAAATTTTTTTAATTTGCTTATTTTATTCCTTTTAAGTTTAAAAAAGTATTTAACAGTTGTAAAGTTTGCATGCTTGACAAAGTTTCACATCATAAAAAAATAATTATATATAAAACAAATATCTGAAACAACATCTGTATCTTTTTTTTTTCAAAATTTTGTTTGTATATATTATTAGTTGTATAGGTTATAGGCCAGATAATGTCCCTTAGGCATGGTGAAGGCAACTTACCTGAAAAACCCTGATATAAAATTCCAACTTAAATGTAAATTTGGGTGGGAGGAGCTCTTAAACCTTGAAAAGTAATCTTAGTAATTGTGTCACCTTTTTTTAATGTTTGTTATGTAGATAAATATTTCTAATCATCTGAAATTTTTTCTTTAATTTAGTGTCCATTTTTTAGTGCTGACCTTTCAGTATTAGTGCAACTTATTAAAACAGAATCGTGAGTTTTTATTATTATTTTAACTGAGTGATTGTGTGAGTTATTTATATTATTTTATTTGAGTATGTGAGTTTTTTCTACTATGTTATTTTATTTGAATATGTGACTTAAAATTAAATTAACATTTATTGTATTAATTGTTATTTCCTTAATTTTTTATTGTTTTTGGTTTTTATATTGTGTTAGTATTTTTCATATACTTTAATAAGACTCTTATGCATTTTTTTGTTATTTATAAGAAACAAAGTTATTAAATTATTTCTCCATATACAGTTATGATTATATAGTTATGTTCATATATATATATATATATATATATATATATATATATATATATATATATATATATATATATATATATATATATATATATATATATATATATATATATATATATATATATATATATATATATATATATATATATATATATATATATATATATATATATATATATATAATATATATATATATATATATATATATATATATATATATATATATATATAATAATGCTGAACTTAATAGTAGAACTCTTGGCAGCCATTGTAACTGAAGTAAATGGCAAGAAAGAGTCGCAGCACTATATTTATAAAAAAATGTGAACAATAGTGTATGCAAATGTTTAATGTATGTAAACTTCAAATCATGTAATGTTAAAACATATATAAACATGCATCAAGTTTTGCAGTTTGACTTTCACTTAAAAATTGCATTGCGTCAACCTTTCCTTAATTTTGATCTATAGCATTTAGTTCTGTTAAAAAAAATTATATAATTTTAAAATTTTTCACGTGCCAGCATGGCTGAGTAGTTAGCGCGCTGAGCATCTGAATACAAAAGTCATGGTTTGAGTCCTACCACTGATGACTTTTTTTTTATTTTTTTTTTTAGATTTTTTAAAATACAATATAGTTGTGAAGTTTTGAAGAGATTATATGCAAACATTTGTAACAATATTATACACTTTAACAAATAAAAAGATTTTTTTTAAAAAGCTAGAAATTCTAAAAATTTGTTTCATTTTAAAATGTTATTTTAGTTTTACATTTCAAGTTTTTTTTACAACTAAGTTGAGTTTGTGCAAGGAAAATGAGTATACAACATGTTTATATATAGAATATAAAATATTTAGAACTATGAAGTTGTTTTGATTTGCATTTTAAATAAAAAAAATAAGCAAGCTGTTGATTTAAACTTGCCATGCGGCGACCTTAAATTTTTTAAACAGTAAAGAGTTAGTTCAGTAAGTTCAAAAAGTTTGTTTTAAATAAGAACATAATTGAAAATTCTAATTTTATATATATATATATTTAGAAGGCAAGTTTAGAAGGCATTACAAAGATGACCTGACGTAACGTGAAAAACTATTTTAAATTTCTATGATTTTTTTAAAAAGAAGTTGCCAGCTATTTGACGCAATTTTAACTTCCGTTGTTTTTGTTCAAAAGCGGTGGGAAGTGTCTTATTTCGTAATTTGTTTGGGCATAATTAATTTCAAGTGACTCTCTTATTTTCCTTTTGTGGTTGTTAGAATTAAGTGCGATCATTTTTGGGTACATCCAATTAAATATACCGTGGCAGTCCTTGCAGTGTTCTGTGGCTCCGGAAGCATGCCAATTGCCTTTCATGCTGTTTATCTGATGCTCAATACTTCTTTGTATATATATATTTTTTTTGTTTCTTCAATATAAACGCCACCACATGAACACATAAGCTTATACACACCCGGTTTGCTATTTGGTAAAAGTTTGGATTTGTTATTGCACAAAATTCTTTTTAAAGTTGGTGGTGTTGTAAATATAAATTTAGCGCCGTATCTCTTGAGCTCTTTTCTTAATTTTGATGCTATTCTTGGAATCCAAGGGAGTTTTATTGTTATGTAACCCTTTTCTGTTTGATCTGCAACTACACCAACAGAATTGTTTTTGATCTGCAACTTGATAAAAACGTAATTAGTAGTATAGTTCTATTTACGCTTTTATATAAAAAGTAGCATTGGTTTAGGCAGAGTTCAATTAGTTGATGAATATCAGTAAGAGTTAACTTAGTTCTGTTCGCAAGATCATCTTTATCATTGCTGAGTATATCAATAATTACAGGAATTGCTCTGTCAATTGGAATCGAAGGGTACAAAGCTATCACATCAAATGAGATTTGAATTTCATTAAGGGAAATTACTCAGGATTTTGCTTCATTGACATATGAAGACGAATTCAGTAACCTTTTTCTATTTTTATTTAAAGTTGTTTGTATTATTTTAACAAGATATTCTGAAGAACCATAAGGTGGAGTACTGATAGTGAAAACCACTGGTCTCATTGAATAGTTTTTATCTGATTTATGAGCTTTTATGACGCCATATAGTCGTGGAGGAATGCAATCAGAAGGGTAAAATTGAAAATAAGTTTTTTATCAAATTTGTTTTCTTTCCTCAACTTACGTAAAAACTTCTGAAATTTTGTCGTGATGGTTTGTGTAGGGTCGTAATTGATAATTACTGACTTTAATTTCATGCGTCTTTATTCTTTTTTAAATTACTTAAGGCGAATCTTTGTTGCTTTGAGAGATTGTCTGGTAATTTCTTTTTTAGAGAACTTGTCAGAAATTTACTAATATTTGGTCGTATATTCTCTGCGTCAGCAATTTTGTTTTGTTTTTTTTAAATACAAAGCAAACAACTAAATCGGGGTTAACAATTCCATAAAAGGTACTTATTTATATGAAGGTGCAAAAAAAAAAAAGTCTAACGGCATTTGAGTAAAATTTAAAACTCCTGGTTTAATTATTTTTTTTGTTTTCTCGTATGCAATTTAGTTTTTTATGAGTTTTTTGATAAAGATTTTCATATTTTTCTTTTAAATGTGTTTTTTTAATATTGAAATGATGATTTTTTGATTTCTCTGTAACACTATCAACAATTTCGTAATGATAAGGCGTCAAAATACTTTTTAATTCTAAATTAATGATTTTAATAAATTTCTTACTTTTATTAAGTCAATATTTTGTTTTGCATTTTGATTAAATAAATAAATTATTAAGTACACAGTGCTCCATTGCGACCGCCAGGGTAAATTTTGGTTTAGTCCAATTTTTTTGGCTGAAAAATATTATTAGGTTTAAAAAAAAAGACCCTTTTAGAGGTCTTGGAAATGGTCTAGAGGGGAAAGCTGTTGATGCTTATGACCACTTAGTTTAGCCCTCTAATATATATATATATATATATATATATATATATATATATATATATATATATATATATATATATATATATATATATATATATATATATATATATATATATATACATATATATATATATATATATATATATATATATATATATATATATATATATATATATATATATATATATATATATATATATATATATATATATATATATATATATATATATATATACATATATATATATACATATATATATACATATATACATATATATATAAGAATTATTAATATATAGTACAATTAATTAAAAAATTAATATAATCGTACTATATACAACAAAATAAAGGATAACAAAATAAAGTATTATTTTAAATAATTTTTTCCAAATTCTACAACACTTTTTTTTAGCCTTGTTCCATAGTCATTATGTTCTGAACGTAGTTTATACCTCTTCCATACTTGGTAGTGGTGGTGGTGTGCACTCTCCCCTACTTGTTCAGCATAAACACTTAAACCATGTTTATTATGTTGAAGAAACGGATAAAGATGGCAAACAAGTATATGAACTTTCCAGCTAACATTTAATTGGTATTCAAAGCTATCTTTCAGTTGAACTTGAAGTCTTTGAAATGAATCTTTGAAGTCCAAAACAGATTCAGACAAAAACTCCCCTACTTTCATTCTAAATTCGTTATTTTTTACTATAGTAAATTTTCTGATACAACAAATAACTGAAAGAAGCAATCTTATTTTTGGATCTGTTAGGGCTGCACTCATCAGGTTAATCTCTAGATTATCTAAATTGTCTAAAAACCTTTGTGCATTATTTCCATCTAACCCGATCCCATGGTAGCCTCGTAACATAATATAATTAGTTTTTAGCCATTGCTCAAATCCAGGCCACAGAGCAATTAAAATCTTCACAAACATTGAAATAACCCCAATAAATAGGTGAAGCTCTGGAGGTGGGATGTTATGTTCAAATGTTTCTGAAGGCTCATCAAGATAAGATTTCTTGGAGAAACACAGTTTTTGAACTCTTTCATTTTCTTATGTCTGCAACCATCAGCAACAAACTTCTTGTAGTTGATGTCTATGGATCCAAACGTTCTTTTTACACCACTTTCAAGTAAGCATTCACCCTCGCACCAAAGACATGCAAATTTGCCACTGTGGCTACTTAGACCAAATAAAGAATTTCCGCATTTAAGATCAAATGCAACTGAATATTTAACATCTTCCAACCGCAGTGGAGCTATAAGTTTATTAATTAAAAACAGAACTACTGTTTATATATTAAAGATAAAACAAATTTTTTTTTATCTTCTTTATTATTTTTGAATCTAATATGGATAACTTGAAGTTGTTATTTCCTTTAAATTTCTATAGCACAAAAATTGAAAATTCAATTTTAGCCATTTTGGCAAAAATTTCAAATTTCGTGATCATTTTTTGCAAAACTGATAACCGGAATGATATTTTTATGATAAAGCTTTTGATATATTATCTAAATATCAAATATTTTATTAAAAAAAAGTGCGTAAATGACATCATTTTCTCCCAACATATTTAAGCATATAAATCAATAATTTGTATGCTTAGCAGTCTAAAACTTCTTTTTTAAATCTAATAATAACTTCCAGCAAAAAAAATTTAGACTAAACCAAAATTTACCCTGGCGGTCGCAGGGGAGTACTGTGAGTACTACAAGAAATGTCATTAAAACAATTATTTTAGATTTAAATTAAACTGTTTTATTAAATATTTTAAATAATTAATTTATTATATATAAAATTATATAATTAAAACTAGAGTTTTAAACAGCCATTTTACCATGTCCCCGTTAAACATTCTAAACTGCATGCGCAACAATGACAGAATTTAGATAACCATCAAAATAGTATTATACTCCACTATTTTTTGGCTTAACTTTTAAATTAGGGATCGTCCATAAATTACACAACACTAAATTTCGCTAATGAACAAGACAAAAAAGATCAAAGTTTTCTCTCGCAGTCGTAAAAAATAAAAATAGCTCATTGAGTTTAATGAAAATCGCCACCTAAAAGAATTTAAGATCTCCTTCTTCTTTTTTAAAATTAAATTTAGTGTTGTGTAATTTATGGATGATTCCTTAGCGTTTTATAGTCTATAGTTTTTAATGGTCTAAGATCTTCTTAGTTCTGCCATTTGTATAGCATTGCATACAAATATCTGTAAGTGTAAACGTCTTTAGCATATATTGAGTTTGCAGGCAGTATATGGAACAATTGTGTATAATAAATCTATAAAAATGAGAAAATTTTGAATTTTATTTTTACAAATAAAATTCAAAATTTGGGGCTTAATGATAAGACTAAATTTGTCTTCTTCTAGTCCCAGTCATGTAAATATTTTTTTTAAGTTACGACTGTAAATTTTTATTATTGGCAAAAATTGTAAAATAAAAAAAAAATAAAAAAACTTTTTTGCTATGTTATAATTTTTTGCTATAAATATTGCTATGATTATTATAGATATATACTTTGATAAAAATTTTGGTATAAATACAGCAAGATTGAAAATATTCAAAATTTATTATGGTCTTTAATTCCCCAAAACGACAATGATGACAGCACACTAAACTACTGACCTATTAATGATATGCAATTAGGAGAAAAACAAACCTAATTATAAATTTTTTATAAGTTCTAGGTATGCGGAAAAGATGTGCATGTTAACTTTTTTGCTCTTAAAGCAATTTTTCAAAATAAATTATTTTACGTAAAAATGAAGTAAACAAATAGTAGGTATAGAAACGATTGTTGTGGAATAGATAAGTATAGAAATGTTAGGTTTGGTAAAGATCCATATTTTATGGGTCCGGAGAGCTAGGATATATATATGGAAAAAGTATAGAAAAGGTCAATGTGGAATAGACGTACAAAGACCAGCATTTCTATGGGTCAGATCATTTAGTATATTATAATTATAATTATTTATATATATATATATATATATATATATATATATATATATATATATATATATATATATATATATATATATATATATATATATATATATATATATATATATATATATATATATGCATATATATATATATATATATTCATATATATATATATATATATATATATATATATATATATATATATATATATATATATTAAATAATATTTAAATGTGAAATATGCATGCTGGCAATACTAAAAATACATGTTGCTTTGGTAATTACATAGTTATCAACCAATAGGATAATAATTTATATGCTCTATATACATTTAAGTCATGTGTAATTCAATCATCATAGAAAATGATTGCATCATCATTTGCTAAGTGTGTACAATTTTTAATGGAAGATGCTGTACTTTTTTAACGGAAATTTTGAATGTAAGATGGAAGACAATTGTTTATGATATCATTCAGCATATCAAGTCAACAGATAGCATCAACCTAGAAAAATTTTATTGAAGACTTAAAATAACTACTCCAAAAACCAACAACATGGTACAATGTTTGGCTGTAAAGGACATTCAGGTTTTGAATTCATAAATTCTTACCACTTCCTAGTGTGAATTTTAGTGCCCTCACAGTTCAAAGATGATCTTTTTCAAAAAAATATTTGTGATTGACTCAAATTTTGCAAATAACACAAGGATTGGACAATTGGTTTATATGGACAATATGTCTAATTGGTTTCAAAGTTAGATATTTTTATGCATTGCAGGGTAGTTTATCAGGCAAAAATGATAATATTTTTAATTAATAATATTCTTGACATGGAATGGGCAAGTCGATCTAACTTGAACTTCATCAAAAACTGTCAGGTAAAATTGATTGTAGAACAGAATCCAACCTCACTAGCAGATCTGAGGAAAACCATAATAAAATCGTATCAATACATGTTCAATATTTGAACGATGTTTAAGTATGTCATGAAATGCTTGAAATTGTGAGTTTTTTGCTGCCTCAATGCCATAAAGAATAGAGTTTGTTCTAAAAATGCTGTAAAGAATAGAGTTTGTTCTAAAAAATCCAAACAAAGCCCATATAAAAGTAGTAAAACATATTTTTTATTTCTTTATTCTTATATGTTTATTTATTTTGTTTTTTGAATTAAAACATTTTCTAGAAATAAATGCCTACACTTAATAGTACAAAAATGGTTTTTTGCTATAGATATTAAATGTTAAGATTTTGTTATAACTGTGTATATTATATTGCTATACCTTTTTTTTATAACTTATTTTCACACATATAATATTAGTATATTTTTTCTTATATTATTTTCACATCAGTATAACTTTTATATCTTTTTACTTTTAGTGTTGAATTTCCAAATGAGTGAGTTAAATTTATTGCTATAAGTATTTGTTTTTTAAATTCTTTAAATATTCTTATTCTAATAATTCTAGACTTTAAATAATTCTAAACTTGTTTTAATAATTTTATACTGGTTTAAATAATTCTAGACTGGTTTAAATAATTCTAAACTTGTTCTAATAATTCTATACTGGTTTAAATAATTCTAGACTTGTTATAATAATTTTATACTGGTTTAAATAATTCTAGACTGGTTTAAGTAATTCTATATTTGTTTAAATAATTCTATATTTATTTAAATAATTCTTTATTTGTTTATATAATTCTGTATTCGTTTAAATAATTCTATATTTGTTTTAATAATTTTAGACTGGTTTAAATAATTCTTGACTGGTTTAAATAATTCTATATTTGTTTTAATAATTTTAGACTGGTTTAAATAATTCTAGACTGTTTTAAATTATTATAGATTCATTTTAATAATTCTAGACTAATAATTATAGTTTGGTTTAATTATAAATTTGTTCTAATAATTCTAGACCAATTTTGAGCCCTCAAGTGCATGATTTAATTTCCAGAATGTTATCGAAAGAGCCAAATGAAAGGATTTCCATATTAGAAATTAAGGTAACTTGTGTTTATTATATTTAATATGAATATATTATATAATTTTAATGCAATAAAATTTATTTACTTGCATTAAATTACTTAATTATAATACAATACATATCATAATATACTATATATTTTTGAAATAGAAAAATTTTTATTATACTTAAAATACTTTCAGTAGATTTTACTTGTGAACAAAAAATATTTTTAAAATGCTTTTAAATATTTTTAGACTCATCCTTGGGTAACTGAGGGTGACACATCTCCACTCCCATCAACACTTGATCACTGTAGTGTAATTGAAGTAACCGATGATGAAGTTCGTAATAGTATCAAAGTAATTTCAAAACTTTCATCACTTGTAAGTAAAACTTTTATTACTTTTAAGTATAACTATTTCAAAAAAAAAAATTTTCTTTCAGCTAGTGCTGCTAGCAGCAAAACAAAGTTTGCTTAATGTCATAAAAAGTTCTTGTTCATCAGATAATGCTTTCATTACTTATAAAAATTTTTTTTTTCTCTTTAATGGAAAAATGTTCAGGTAATCATTAAAATCATATTTGAGCATCTAAATAAAAAAATGAAATCTATTTTGCTCAATGAAATTTAGAATTGTCATTAAAATGACATAAAACAAAAGAAAAGTCTTAGGATGTTTTTTTAGATTCAATTTTTTAAATAAAAAAGGAAAAAAAAGAAAAAACTAAAAGGAAAAAAAAGAAACCTAAAAGGAAAAAAAAGAAAAACCTAAAAGGAAAAAAAAAACCTAAAAGGAAAAAAAAGAAAAACTGATTTATTATTTGATAAAATTTAAATTAAGGGAAAATAGAAAAGATGTCACTAAATCATTTTTTTCAAAGCATAAAACAAAATATAAATAGCTAATTGAAAATTAATATGTTTTAACTGATGTTATAAAGTATTCAAAATACAAAATCGTTGTAAAATGAGAAACTCTAAAAACTTAAGGCCGTTTTCCACAAGACAAAATATTCGCGCGAAGCGAATTTTTTCGCTATAACGAAACGCTGTTTTGATTTCCACTTACTCTCTTTCGCGCTACTTTTTTTTCGTTGTCAACAATAAAAATGGCAGCAATAAGTTTACGTTATATGTTTAACTAAAAGCAGTTATTACTTTTTTAGCATACTTTCTACTTTGAAGCATGTGAAATTTCTTTCGTTAAATTAATATTAACATTTCTGTCTTTATATGTAAGATGTAATATCATTTTGTAATATAATCATTTAATATATCGTTTTTTTTTACAAGAAAGTATAAGAAAATAAATGCTAAACTCTAATATGAACAGCAGGTTTAACTCTATGTAGGGTTTTTCACAAAAAGGTTTATCTTCGTGTGGCCACTTGAAGATAAACATTTTTATGAAGTGTAACTTTTGTAATTGACAGTGTGAAAATTTAAATTTGTAAATTCTCGATTTAGTTTGGCGGACTTGTACACGACGCACCCCCTATGAAATATTAATAATCGTGACCAAAACTGTCCCAATTCTCACGGTCAATTAATGAATGTATATTTCGTTGTGTTAATCCCTATTTATTAATCAAAGCATTTACATTTAATTCTATTCATCACTTATGATCAATTGAGGTAATTACACTTTAATCAATTAAATTAATTAATTTTACTAGGTCAGTAAAATATCATTTTCGATAAAACGTGTTTAAAACTTAAGGGGGTGCATCGTATACAAGTCCGCCCAATTTTCAGAGTAAATAAATATAAAATTAATAAGAAAGCCAGGTTAAGAATTTTGTTTAAAAACAACATGTTTTCGCTTTTTTTTACTGTTGACATTAGTGCTTCCAATACCGATACCATTTTTTAATACCGGTATTTCGGTACTAAATAATTTCAATACCGGTATTAAACTTTATTTATAAATTTATCATAATCTAAATAAAATCTCAAGTTAATAGTAAAAATTTCATTGATTTAATCAGCTTATTTATTTTATATCAAAACTACTGACTTTTTCATTTTTTGCTTTTTTCTGCCTCGTAAAATGAGCCCGTAAAAAACATAGGGCGTTCAGAATATCATCTTCAAGAGATCATCTAATTTTGTGACAGTTACCACTTGCTAAAAATCCACGCTCCGATTTGAAACTTATTGGTTTCACAGTTTTCAAATAATAGTAGGAGTTTTGCAAATATTTACAACGATTTCCTCCTTCAAAAACCCAACACACATAATTTTTGATGAATTATTCAAAACATTCAATCTTCCTTTGTTGTTACATTTCTTATTTTTCAAAATTGCAAAGTCAAGCTTTTTTTTCAATGACAAGTTTACAGCGTATCCATAGAATCTCTATAAGAAAAAACGCTGGTGGAAAGGAGAGGACTATACGCTTTCTGATTGAACCGATCTTTCAGTCGAGCAATGGTATTTACAATGTCTAATTTGCTATGGTGCTCAAAAGATAGAGTCAAATTCTTGTAACGTTGATGGCCCTTGTGCAGAAAATATTGTATGCTGGAAAAAGAGTACGTTGATCATTGAATCGTCGCACCAACTTAACTTTACAGCTAAATTGGTTTCTCCAAGGTTATCTATCATGAAAATGCTGTATCGGCTCACAACAGTGTTGCATGATTTCGGCACAATGTTTCCACAGCCAGTTTTACTGGCGCAAGACATAAGTTAACAGCTAATATTGCATCGAACTCCTTGTTAAATACCTCGACTTTGGACTCAAGGGCAATCAGTGACTCGCGAATGCATTTTTTCAATTATACAAAACGTTCTGTGTGCAAGCTAATCTAGCGAGTTTTGGAGGCAAGTATTAGTGGAAGATCTTTATTAAATTTTTCTTTTGTCTTTCATTACAAGATAAATGAGCCCAGTGGGAAATGAGCTGGCAACTAGCTAGCTAGTCGCTACCTATGGGTAAAAGACGCGTTTAAGACGTATAAAGTACGTAGAATACTTGTTTTAGACAATTTAAACACGTCTTTTCTCATCTAGCTATCTTTTTTCTACCGTAAGCGTTGTTGGAAGTTTTAAGTATTTCATTTACTTTCGTGCTTCACGTAAAGAGGGCGATAGCACCTGCTATATTATAAGCCCTCTATGTATATTTTTAATACCGGTATTGAGCCAAACCAATACCGGTATTTCGGTACTTAAAAACGTCCGGTAATACCGGTACTACCGGTTGTTAGTACTAGTTGACATCACGTGATATAATATTCAAAACTTGATTGGTTTTTGCCAATGGCAATTCGCAAAAAGTCGAAATGAATCCGACTCTTTTTTTCGCTGCAGCGAAACGCAGTAGCGAAAAAAAATCAGCATAATCGCCAAATATGTTTAATCTGCGCATGCTTATCGACGAAAAAAATATTTTAATCAACCACAAGCAACTTTATTTTGAATAATGAAATAAAGAGCATTTGATGGTTAAATCCAAAGTTGTATTTAAAAAGAAATACTAAAATAATATTTTTATGTTTAAGATAAAATTTATTGAAAAATACTAAATTAAGATGACGCAATCGTAATTGTTTATTGCATTTTGAAGAAATAAATTCCTATTAAAATTTGTAATCAGTTCTATTTCTATGGTAATTTTAATAAGAAAAATACATTAATATTACATTACATAAAATGACATGAACAATGAATAAACGCACATATTTATATAATACTAAAGTTGTCGCTGTTTAGTTTTGTTTACATTTTCTGAAATAATCATGTTTTTAATAATTTTTTGATCTTTAATATTTTTAGGTTTTGGCCAAAAATATTTTAAAAGGGAAATCATTTGTTGGAAATGCTCGTTTAAAAACATAGCTTTTGTTTGTAAAGAATGAATTGATGATTAAGAAGATTCAAAAAAATGACGAAAATTTATATATCTTGGAATTCTGTTGGATTTCGGGAAAAAAACTATGTCTCTTTGAAGAAATTAATTTTCTTGACATTTATCGCTTGTATTTTGGTGATATCTATTATATTATGCGAGATTTTTTATTACGCGGGTTTTTTACTTTTGCGCGGATTTGTATAAAGATACTCATTTTTAAATATATATATTGCTATGTAACAATCATTTTACTTACTTTTAACGTATTTTGTTTGCATAAAAAAATAGTTTCATCGCCCTCTAAAACCAACTTTTTAAGGTAAAATTGACGGAAACTTTAAAATCAATATCAGAAAAACTACTTGAAGCTACATTTTGGCTGGTAATATGTGTGTGCGTATATGTATATATATATATATATATATATATATATATATATATATATATATATATATATATATATATATATATATATATATATATATATATATATATATATATAAATATATAATATATATATATATATATATATATATATATATATATATATATATATATATATATATATATATATATATATATATATATATAAACCTGGTCGATTTTTTCTATTTTATTTTAAGAATGCATTCCCACACCAAAACTCTTAATCGATCTATATCAGTCGATGTATGTAAATAATAAAAATCAATGTAACTTTCAATATACAACAATAATAAGAACTTTCAATGAAAAAAATAGTTAAAAAACATTTAAAAACATTTTTCATAGTAAAAGATTCGATCCTTGATCACTGTGGAAAATAATCCAATGAGATACCACAATGCTAAACGCACAATGTAGACTTGCAATTCTTTTTAAATTTTTACTAATAAAACTTTTAAAATCAACCAATAATATTCGCAGCCGTGACTTAAAATAAACCAATCAAACTTTACTACCGTGACTTAAAGATAAAAAATTAAAGCAACGGTACCGTTGCTTTAATTTTATTATATATATATATATATATATATATATATATATATATATATATATATATATATATATATATATATATATATATATATATATATATATATATATATATATATATATATATATATATATATATATATATATATATATATATATATAATAAAATTAAATATAGGTCCATTAAAATTCCGCTAAAAATGCATTATATTGTCTAAAGCACCAAATGACATCAAGCGATTTCATTTGGTGCTTTAGCGTATGATTGACCTATAAGAATACTGTCCTAGGTGCAGAACTTCTACAGAGTGAACATATTATGTCAGTATATATTAACTGAACAATGATGGTGTTTTAACGGCTTTTAAGACAAAATTTTAATTTGAAGGCCGTTAACTAAAGCTCGCCACATTTATTTTGTTTTAACTGTCTTATTGATTAAAATTTTAAAATATATATTCTCAGTAATAATTTCATATTAATTTGAAAATTTTAATATATTCATGACTGAAACTATACATACTATACTGAAACTAGTCGTGTCAGACATTATTACTCGGATATGTCGGATATTTAAACGGTACTAGGTAAAATGCGAACTGCGAACCGCGAACTGCGAACTGGTAAAATGCGAACTTTTTTGCGAACCATCGTCCTATTGGTTGTTAATGATGTAATGTTTTATTTCCGTTAAATAGCTCATTTAGCGGCATATTTTAAAGACTTTTAAGCGAAAAAATTATTTTAAAAAAATAAAAGGAAATTAAGTGAAACTAGACAAATACATTATAATTTTTTTTTTAACTATTTAATAGACTGCCTGCCCAAACCAAACCCTCAGTCGATGTAGCAGCACTCCGTTGCGAGTCAGGCTATAAGATAGTCGATGTAGCAGCACTCCAATGCAAGTCAGGCTATAAGATAGTCGGTGTAGCAACACTCTGTTGCGAATCAGGCTATAAGATAGTCGATGTAGCAACACTTCGCGCATGTTTTACAGTTAAAAAATAAAAGTTTTAATTAAATAAGGTTTCAAAATAAATAATTAAGAATTGGAGAGTTTTTTTAATATTATTTTTATCATGGTCTTTAAAATATAATGTTTTGGTTCGCAAAAAAGTTCGCATTTTACCGGTTCGCAGTTCACGGTTCGCAGTTCGCATTTTACCAACAACCTATTTAGACAGATTTTTTTTATGATAGGCGAATGTCGGATTTTTAAATTTTTTTTGCGCGAAACATTAAATATGGATGTTGACCAAAAAATGGATGTTGACGAATTCGAAAAATCTTCACATATCCCGACCTTAAAAAAAAATGACCCAGCAGATAAAAAATCTTATGAGCTTCCATGGTATATTTTTGCGAATAAAAGACTATTAAATATTTTTTCATATTCCTTATTTTTTATGATACATATAATGACAGTTTTTCTAATATGTAAAACTGGCATTATCAACTTAATAGTAAAAAGTGCACAGTAATTTAACAATATTAGTTCATATCATTATGCATAAGTATTGTTATTAGTAAGAATATTTCAAAATAGTAGTAATAATACTTACAAACAATAATTTATTAAAATTAATAGTACAATAATTTAATCTATAACATAGTATAGAGCAAAATGATCATATATTTGTTATTGATAGCCGAGAAGGATCCATATTCTAACAGAGCATTTTTTTTTTTTACTTTTATATTAGTGACAAACTTCTTCAACTAAAGAGATTCATAGTTAGTCTTAAATTATACTTCATTTAGAGAAAAATGTATTTAAGTAGAGATTTTGATTTTGTATCAATGTAGACCAATCAGTAGCCAGTAAGTTAAGAAACAGTACAATAGTTAAGACTTTTTTTTATCACAACTATATAGACTCAAACCAAAAACAATATTTTAAATAAAAAATAGCGTTAGCTGTTTCACAGCAAATGGCATTTTACAACTGTTATAGAATTGTAACTTGCATATAGTTTGTCAATATATGGGTAATAAACATTGGTATAAAGTAGCTATAATTTCTGTCAATATTAATATATAGACTAATATTAAACATCAACTTATCTATAAAATCACTTGTAGTATTATTAAGTGAAGGTCTTTTTTTCATTTTCTGATACTTTAGTTCATATTCTTTGGTTATCTAAAGAGATGCCAATTTTTAACAACTTTGGGATTGTATTTTATCTTCAGTTGGTGTGGCATTATTTTTTTTCCTTTACTTATTATCCAATTTAGATTGCATTACTTCTTTTGAGTTTAATGCAAAATAATTTTGAACCTTTCTTTGATTTTTTTTTAATTACTAGTAGAGGAAGTTAGTGTACCCAAGGCCTCCTTCTACCTAGGGCCACCCCACTTTATTTTAAAACTATAAAATTCTAAGTTATGCTTCTCAGTCAGGTGTTATTCAAAATCTCAATTTTTTTAATCCTATGTTGATTCTCAGACATCGTTGCCGCAGCAAGTTATTATCGGAAAATGCTTTTTGATGGTTCAGTAAAGTTTGGCTGCTGGTATTTTATATTGTAAAACAATTCTATAGAAAAAGCTTTGCTATAGGTTTTCGTATATTATACTGTTTGTTACTTAAGTACTAAATTTGATGTTCAATATGTTTTCTCTCGGTTTGGGTTTGTTAATAGATGATGTTTTTCATGAGGCTATCAAATCTTGTACCTAGGGCCATAAAGTTTGCTTGTATCTAGGGCCATATGTGTATTTCTCTGATAAAGAATTATTTTGATCACGAGGTAGATAATTAAATTTTGATTAGTATTGAACCCGGTTATTTTGCGATTACCATTTTACTTGAAGACTTATTCGTCAATTTTTAGAAGCTATCAAGATTCAACAATGTTGGAAATTCAAAGTAACTCTAGATAAATTTGTTTAAAACAATCTAAAATTAAACAAATTTTTAATAAAATTTATGTTACTCTCTTTGTTGTCTATTTACTATGGAGTTATATAATTTATTATGAAGTTATATAATTAATAGAGTTATATAACCTTATTTTTATTATTAATAGAGTGGCTCTAGATGTAATAGCAGGTACCCCTAGGTACAATTAAAAAAAAACTTTTACCTTGGACCACTAACTTTTAAACCCTTCTACATGATAGACTTTTATGTTTCAAGTCATTATACCTATATTAATACAAAATAATTGTTATAGTGATGTGATTATATGCCTTGAATTAGAGGATTAAAAAATTCCTGCCCTAGGTACATAAACTTCTATATCAATATAGAAAAAGTAAAGTGCGATTGTCACTATTATCAGCCAAGCTTATTGTAAAACATTGAATTGTTGTGAGACTAGGCAGAACAATGCCTTCATTTGGCATCAGATTACAATGAAAGGTATCTTTATCTTTTTCACTCTTTGGGTTAACTTTGAGTTAAAAGTAGAGATATGCACTTAAATATATATACAACCATAACTTTATGATCATCATCAGGCGCGGACCAGGGCCACAGGAAATCTATGTTTTGACTAGCCCTTGTCATTTCTAGCCCTCACAAAATGTAAAAACTCAATTATATCATATTTTTGATTAAAAACAGGTACATCCTTTACACATCTTTGATTTTCTCAGAAAGCAACTTAAGGTTCTCAATTATTTTAATAAATTATAAATTGTTATCTTAAGTCTAGTAAACTGTATTGTGTACATGGTGCTTATTTATAGTTACTTATATTAGTATTTACATTAGGTATAATAAATCATATTGTACATTCTTTATTTTCTATATCTATATATTAACATTTCATAAAAGTTTTTAACAAGATTTAATCTTAATAATTTACTTTGATTTTTATTAATATCAATAAAAATATCAGCCACAAAAATAACAAGCGATCAACAGTCAATAAATGCCTGAAATAATCAAAAAGAAATTAATGAGAAAACAAATAATGAAATTATTAAATTAATAAATATGGTCACAATATTATTCAAGAAAATTAAATTAACTCAAAATTTTTATTTTTGTGACTTAGCACATTTTGCAGATGAGCTCTCTAAGTAGTAGATTGGATCTATTGTCAAAAATGTTTACAAATCAAACCTTCCAGACAATTGTACATAAGTTGTCATCAGTGGCATGCTGATGTCAGACCATTAGTGGCGTGCTAACTCAAAAAAAGTCCATGTGGGATTTTTCTCAAAGGCTTATTTATACTGGGCATATTTTATATGCTTGATTTACAGGCCTATAAATATTTAAACGTTACATTTTAAAAAGGTATGTAACTTAGGTTAAACTAATTAGTGTTACATTTTGTTATAAAAATGGCTGGTTTTTTATCAGCATTGCCATTATCGCTTAAAAAGAGTTGATCATGATAGAAGATTGAATGTTTATGAAAATATAGAAAAATTATTAGAGCAATATATTCACTTAATTGATATCATAATTAATGTATACCAAGTTTTATTTGAAATAAAAATTTGCCTTATAACTTAAAAACTTTCTGTAAAAAAAAAAATTCTTAGTGTTAAACTTTTGCTCCTAAAAGTGTGCGTGTTATTATTTTAATTAAAACAAGAAAGGTTATACTAAAAAATTTAAATTAAAATATTTGCGTACATACAGACTAAGTTTTTCAATAGTTTTTTAAAATATTTAAAAAAAAATTATTTAACTTTACAAGCTATATTTTTTTAAAATTTTCTTTTAATTAAATAATTTTGGAATTGCGATTTCCCACCTGACCATCATGATTGCTTAATTTAACCTTTGACCCAGTTTATTTAATTTTAAAAAGTCCAGATCATCACACTACCTACAGATATCTATTTTAAAAATGATCTTGAAAATTTCTAAACAAATTGAGTATTAAAGTTATGGAACAAACTACATACTTCAGTGGTTGAATAACAGTCCATAAACGAGTTCAAAGCAAAAATAGACAAGCTAAAATTTGCAACCTTATTTTTATTTTAATTAAATGTTTTTGTAAAATCTTGTAAAATGTGTTTTTAGTCATAGGGTTGACTTGGTTGACATTATTATTATTAAAAAACAAAAATGCCTAATTTGCTAAACTTTATAGAAAATATAAAACACATTACTTAAGGAATTTTGGAAACTTTTATTTTCAAATCTGAAATCCTGGAGTTATTTGCTGCCATTATGCATAACAGTTTTGAGTTTTTCTACTTTTTTTCTTATGGCGCTTGAAGTTTTCAAAAATTTTAGAAACTCTCAGACTCTAATGGTGAAAATTATATTTAAATCTTTTTGAAACATTTTCTTTTTGGTGTTAAAAGTTGTTATTTACTTGAGTTTTGCTTATTTACTTGAGTTTTGTTTATTTCTCCAATGATATAGTATATGAATTATATTATAAGTGTTTACAGTGCCACTGTAAAAAATAATTTTATTTATTTAAATAAAATTTTTCCTATGCTTTATTTAACAACATTTATTTAACAAAATTTATTTAAGAACTTTATTTAGCAACATTTATTTAACAACTTTATTTAGAAATAAAAGAAGTCCAACAAAGAAAAAACACCAAAATGTAAAAAATTTTTACATTTTGGTGGATATTGAATAATTTTTTTTTTTCAGATAACATTTCTTAAATTTTATCAATTTTTTTAATGTTTAATTTTTTTAATGTGTTTTTATTTAGGGTAGAAAAGTATCGTCCATTGAAACTCACAGATATTACAGGAAATGAAGAAACAATTAAAAGACTGCAGGTTTATTATATACTAATATAATGTATTGTTAACTTTTATAAATACTGAATTTAAAAATTGAAATGTGTGTATCTCAAATGCTTTAATTTGTATATATATATATATATATATATATATATATATATATATATATATATATATATATATATATATATATATATATATATATATATATAATTTTTAAGGGTATACAAAAATATAATGAGATATCGATTTATACTCTTAGCTTTATATTTTGATCAAAAACTAGTTTATACAAATTAAATAAAAAAATACCAAATCTAATTTCCATTATCTCAAACAAAACTATTTCTATAGATCTTTTACTATAGAGGGTAGATAATTAATATATAACAAGAATAACTTTATACCCAAAACACTACCCTGGGGAACTCTACTAAGGATGCTGGTCGGAGTGGATAGTGAATTTCCAACCAGAACCCTTTGATATCTGTTAAAAAGAAATGCTGATATCCAATGAAGCAGGTTATCTATTATGCCGTACATTGCAAGTTTTTTCAAAAGTTTTGGATGAGGTACAGAGTCAAATACATTTTGAAAATCAATGTACACCACATCAGTAATTAAATTGCTGTCTAAAGTATACTATTTAGAAAAATGAAACCAACATTACACCTTAGTTTCTTAACGAAACTAAACTTGATGTTGTATATATTTATCTACTTATATATTCTAAACTATTATATGTAGGGAAAAATAAAAACTTTCAACTATGGGTGAGCAAAACCAGATATCCAGTTCAGTTTGTTAAAATCTGAATCTGACTTTAACAAACCGGACCGGATATCCAGGTTTTGCTCACCCCTAGTTATATGTACTAGCTACTTGTGATATTTATAAATCTTTGTTCTAATATATAGAAAGAGAAGGAAGGAATATATATTTAAAGAAAAAAGCAAAAATGTATGAAGTTTAAGAGTTAAGATAAGGGTCTTAAAATTTAGTTGCTGTAAGAATCATTAGAATCATGATTAAACTAAAAATGGAAATGAAGACTTGAATAAATTTTAAAAAGTCACAAACAAAAAATAAAAAATAAAAATTGACTAACTAATGATTTTAGTTAACTAAATTTTTAAAATTGATAATGATCAACAAATCTTTCATAATAAATAGCAAAATCATATAAAAAATGAAATTGGAAACTTTCTATTTGTAATTAACTAACTGTATAATTTTATAAAACTAAAATACAAACTATTGAACTAAAAGTAAAGATAAATTATAAAATAATTACCTACCTGCAAATTGAAAACCGACAACTGAATATGAGCAGTAGCACTAAAAATAAAAATGTTGTTACTCATTTTTAAATTTTTTTAAAAAAATTAGTTGAAATTAAAACAAAGGACCTTCAGCATAATCAAAAAGAGTATGTAAAGTTTATAAAAAAAAAGTAAAAAAAACTTTATAAAATCCAGTAATGGGTTAAAAATCTCTACCAGACATTAACACTGTACTAAATAAGATTGATATAAAACATGATAAAACATCTAATATATATCTAGTATATAATAAAAGTATATAAAACTAAAAAAAAATAAAAAAACCATTTATATTTAAAATGAGGCCATCATCAGATTTCTTAAATTTAAACAGCATGCTATTATTTCAATACATTACACAGGTCAACAACAAAAAAATTTTTTTCTGTTGCCAAGCAAACAAATAGTTTTTTTTTTATAGCATTTCTCATTTTTTTAAATATGCAATTCATTTTTCACCATCACCTCAAGTTGTATAGATATTTGGGTTCAAATCTTTAGTATTTGGAGTAAAATCCCTAATATTGTTGAAAAAAAAAGTTTTTCAAAAGTATGTCAACCTGGGTCTCAAAAGAAGCGTATTTTTATAGAGATTTTAGAAAACATAAATTTTTTGTTAAAACTTATTGACAAAAAAATTATTTAAAAAAATGCTAAAGACTCTTAAAAAAATTTAAACAAAATGTTTTTCAGCAATAATACAAAAAGTACTTATTTTTATTACAAACAAATAACATTTTTAAAATTTCTATAAAAATATGCTTCTTTTGAGACCCAGGTTGGCATACTTTTGAATAACTTTTTTTTCAACAATATTAGGGATTTAAACCCCAAATACTAAAGGTTTGAACCCAAATATCTTTAAAACCTGACGTGATGGTGAAAAATGAATTGCATATTTGAAATCAAAATGAGAAATGCTATAAAAAAAAAACTAATTGTTTGCTCGGCAACAGAAAAAAAATTTTTTATGATTTGAAATGTTTATGTGTGTCTATATATATATATATATATATATATATATATATATATATATATATATATATATATATATATATATATATATATATATATATATATATATATATATATATATATATATATATATATATATATATATATATATATATATATATATATTAGGATGGGTCATAAAATTTTTTTTTAAGAGTTGCTAACCTGGCTATGGTCTAGAAAGTTGTTTTTTTATGTACTAATTTAGGAAAGTATTTACTTTTATGGATTGAACAATGTCTTCCACCCCCAACTATAATTAAAACAAGAAAGGTTATACTAAAAAATTTAAATTAAAATATTTGCGTACATACAGACTAAGTTTTTCAATAGTTTTTTAAAATATTTAAAAAAAAATTATTTAACTTTACAAGCTATATTTTTTTAAAATTTTCTTTTAATTAAATAATTTTGGAATTGCGATTTCCCACCTGACCATCATGATTGCTTAATTTAACCTTTGACCCAGTTTATTTAATTTTAAAAAGTCCAGATCATCACACTACCTACAGATATCTATTTTAAAAATGATCTTGAAAATTTCTAAACAAATTGAGTATTAAAGTTATGGAACAAACTACATACTTCAGTGGTTGAATAACAGTCCATAAACGAGTTCAAAGCAAAAATAGACAAGCTAAAATTTGCAACCTTATTTTTATTTTAATTAAATGTTTTGTAAAATCTTGTAAAATGTGTTTTTAGTCATAGGGTTGACTTGGTTGACATTATTATTATTAAAAAACAAAAATGCCTAATTTGCTAAACTTTATAGAAAATATAAAACACATTACTTAAGGAATTTTGGAAACTTTTATTTTCAAATCTGAAATCCTGGAGTTATTTGCTGCCATTATGCATAACAGTTTTGAGTTATATATATATATATATATATATATATATATATATATATATATATATATATATATATATATATAATATATATATATATATATATATATATATATATATATATATATATATATATATATATATATATATATATATATATATATATATTAGGATGGGTCATAAAATTTTTTTTTCTTGTTACAGGCTCTAAATATTGCTAATAGTTATTAATATTGATACCATCAAATTTGAGAATGATTGTTATTTTAGAGAAAAAAAGTTTTTTAAAAGTAGGTCAACCTGGTACTTAAAAGAAGCGAAATTTTATAAAAAAATTCAAAAAATAATAATCATTTTATAAAAATCATATTGTTAAAAAAAATTGTTATTAAAAAACATGTAAAAATGCACCTTTTTCACTTTTAGTTAAAAAGCTATAGTTATTATGCAATAAAATCTAAAATAATAATTTTTTTATGAAAAAATTATTTTTTTGAAATATTTCTAAAATTTCGCTTTGAGTACATACATCACATAATTTTGAAAAACTTTTTTTTTAAATAATGATAGGGCCTGCTAATTTTTGTAATTATAGTTGGGGGTGGAAGACATTGTTCAATCCATAAAAGTAAATACTTTCCTAAATTAGTACATAAAAAAACAACTTTCTAGACCATAGCCAGGTTAGCAACTCTTAAAAAAAAATTTTATGACCCATCCTAATATATATATATATATATATATATATATATATATATATATATATATATATATATATATATATATATATATATATATATATATATATATATATATATATAAATATAAATATATATATATATATATATATATATATATATATATATATATATATATATATATATATAAATATAAATATATATATATATATATATATATATATATATATATATATATATATATATATATATATATATATATATATATATATATATATATATATATATATATATATATATATATATATATATATATATATATATATATATATATATATATATATATATATATATATATATATATATACTCTTGCATGGTAGTTGAAAAGAGTTTCCCATAAACTGTAGTTTTAAAGAGCGCGTTAATAAACCAGACCAGAAAAAGTTTAAAAACTTAAATTTTTTTTATTTTTTTAAATGATAGACTGCCTGCCCAAACCAAACCCTCAGTCGATGTAGCGGTTTTTTAAAAACAATAAAATTTAATGTACTTCCGCATTAATTTAATTGCTTTGACATTTCGACGACAATCAAATACTATATATATAGTATTTGATTGTCGTCGAAATATATATAATAATATGTACTTTCTTATAATATGTTAAGAATGATCATTGAATATACAAAATGCCTAGGGAAAAAATAAAAACCAAAAAATATTTGAAAACAATATTTTCAAAGTAATCTTTACTTTATTAAAAATGCAAAAAAAAAAATTTTTTTGAGAAAATAAGTTGGGCATGGCCCCAACCTGGAAACAATTTTAACACACGTTCATCAAGACTACACAAATGCTGAAATTTTCAGAGCTACAGTTTGTCTGGATAGCAATGAAAAATCTATCACAAGATTCCCCTACAAAAAAGGGGGCCTATGACCCAGCCCTTCGAGCGCTGAAAACAACTTTAACGTGCAATTTCAGCAGCATTACGGAAATGTCAAATGTTTTAGACCTCTAACTAGTCTTAAAAGTAGCAGGCTTTCACAGGAAGACGTGCAATTTCAAGTCTTTATATGACCACGCAAGTTACATTTTGCTATGACGGTTTGACCGTGGCTAATTCAAAAAACGTTTTAGAAATGCGCTAAATAAAAAATATTCTAAAAAAGTGAAATTAATTACATCAAAACTTCTTAACAAATGTTTTTATATTAGCGAAACAATTTTTAATAAAGTAACAATTTACTGAAAAAAAGTTTTGTATTTTAAATATAATTGACAGTTGTATATATTTTTTTAATTTAAAACATATAAATTGTTTAAGTGTTCATTTCTAAAATAAATCTTGTTAAAAAATAAAAAATTATTTTGTTTTTATAAACGATGACATTCTACGGCTACGTTTTTATAAATAAAAAATTGTTTTGTTTTTATAAACGATGACATTCTACGGCTAGTCTCTTTAACGAATTTAAATATAAGAATGATTAAAGTTAATGCATTTAAAAAGATAAACAAAATTTTGTTGAAAAAAAAAGTTTTAGAAAACCGTTACTTTTTAATAAGTTTGATCTTAAATGCTTTTATATTATCGAAATGCTTTTGATGGAGTAAAAAAAAAACACTTCTAATTAATTTAAAAAAAGTATTAATAAAATATTTTTTTATTTTATTTATATAACTATGTATTTTTTATGAGAAATATTTAACTTTTAAACATATTAAATAAATAAAAAATATATAAAAATATTGAAACAAAGATGAAAAGGTTTTTTAATGCATAAATTAAATAGACTAAGCATTTTAATTTGATGAGTTTTGTTTTAGTTGCGTTATATATATGTATTTATTTTATTGTGTTTTTGCTTCAACTAAGTATTTTTTTTATTTTCTCTTTCGTTAATATTTATTATTTTTTTAAATTTTTTTTTTCAGATAAGTTTAGGTAAGTTTTTGTAGCGCGTTTTTAAATTAAAAAAAAATGCAGTGGTCAAATCGTTAAAACATTTTTTTTTTTTTCGTGGTCATATAAAGACGTTAAATCGCACGACTTCCTGTGAAAGCCTGAAGTAGTGAAAAATCAATTGCAATACTTGACTACAAAAAAGTGGGAATCGTACCCTGTTATCCATATATGGAAATCCATTAACTTGCAGATGAATATAGAATAATGTGTAATATTTTTTTATATATTATTAAGGCCACATGGATTTTTTGAGTATCAAAATCAGGTATTTAAAAAGTTGCCTAAGTTTATTTATGTTGATAAATACAGGTACTTAAAAATAGTTATTTTACATTTCTGATCATTTTATTGGATTCGCCAATATAGCCAAGTACAAATTTTTAAGTAAAAAGATTAAATAATTTTAAAGTTATGTTACTTGAAACCCCTTAATAAACCTCTTAATCCTCTAATATACTCTTTATACTCTTTTTCTTATAAAAATTTTATGTGGCCACCCTGATACACTTTCATCCTTATTTTCTTATAAAAAAGTGTTAAAAAAACTCCTTTTTGCCATTAAACAGAGTTTAATGGTTGCTGTGATTTTTTCGCAAACATGCACAAATGAGTATTACTATTAATTTACCTAATATATTATAAGAATAATATTTTTTTTTACTGTTCACCAAGACAGTCAAATGGAATGTTGTGACAGTTGTGAAAAGAACCTTGACTAAGAAACTTGACTAAGAAGGCCTTTGCACAGAAAAACAAGTACTCCTACTAGAGACATGGTGGTAATCTACCTCAGTAAAACTTGATGCTTATGATGCTCTTTACCACTACTATATATAATAAAATAGCAAATAAAATAAAGTTAATATAAATTTTTTTTTTATATAAAAGTTAAATATTTATTTTGTTCAGGTGTTCAGTGAGCAAGGAAATGTTCCAAATATTATAATAGCAGTAAGTCATATTTGTTTTATTATTAATCATTATTTGGTATTTTATTTCATTTCCAATTACTGATGTTAGACATCTTTGTGTAGCTTCAATAATTGGAAATGAAAATGTTAACATCATCAAATGTTAACTTGTTAACTTGTTAAATGTAAATAGTTAACTGCTTCATATTTTACAGCGCTATAAAGAATTTTGATGTATATCTTATTATCACACAGTTGACCAGATATTATAAAAGGGTTCAAAATAAAGTATTTAGGAAATAAAAGTTAAACTTTAAGAAAATTAGACTTATATAGTTAAGAATTACTTTTGTTTAGGGCCCACCAGGTATTGGCAAGACTACTAGTATCTTGTGTTTAGCAAGACAATTGTTATCTACTTCTTATAAAGATGCAGTCATGGAACTTAATGCTTCTAATGAAAGGTAATAAGACTAAAATATTATTATTTTTGTTATTTTTTCAAAATATGAATATAAAACTTGTATGCGTGTAGAGCTCCCCAAATCTTTCATTTTTAGTGAATGTTAATGCTTGTATCAATATTTATTGCCTAATGTCTAGTTTAAGAAAAAAGTTTTGTTAATTAGTATGAATTTTCAACAATCAATCAACGCATGATTTTGTTTGCAAACCAAACAATGATTTTGTTTTTTAAAAAATAGCCAGACTTATTTTCATTGGTTGGTTTGCAAAAGCCTGCAATTTATAAATTTAAAATTTAAAAAAATTTAAAATGTGAAGTGATAAAAACATGACAGGAACTGATGATGGTTTTTTTAATTTTATTACCTTGGTTTTTAGAATGTGCAATTGAATAGAAATTTTAAATCAATATTCTACTGTATTTTATAATATTATTATATGTTATGTTATAATACTATAATGTATGTTATAATTCTATAATGTTTTTATATTTATGTTATAATACTCCACCTCTTAAGAAATGACTGGCTCTGCTTCAGTTTCTGGACTTAATGAATAAATATTCCAAAGTTTGGAATATTATATATAATTTTTTGATCACATTTGCCTACCCAATTATATACCAATTACAGCCATTAATTTTTAATTAACTTTCATGTTTACAAGGTTAATTGTATTGATAGTAATTGTATTATTATCACTACTCTACTACTGCATATTACTTTTAAAAATGCTTTAGGTAAATTTAGTTCTATATATTATTAACCAAAACTAGGGTTTCTAGTTCTATTTCTAGTTTTAAATTACCAAGTGAACAGGAGACCTAAAGAAGATGTCTTTTGAGCATTCAAAAGATTTTAAAAGACATCTTTTTTACAACTGGTGCCCACTGGGTTGCATAATTTTAAATATGAATAACTTTTGATCATTAAATTACGCATCAATCATTTAACAGCGTAATATCAATATAAAAGTATAATAAAAAGCAAAGTACTGTAAGAATGTTTCCATATATATTTTACTTGTTTTTTTATTTTTTTAAAAAATTGAGAAATGCTATTAAAAGATATTATTATAAGATATTTTGTTGAAAGCAAAATTGTTAATATATAGATTTTTATTGCGTTTTGGCAAGACTAACTATTAATAAAGATAATAAAAATAGAATTTCATCCTGCAATTTAGTTAAACAATGAATAATATTTTTCTACTGTAACAAAAAATATTCATTTTATTCCTTTAAAAAAAATATGAGAGCCGAAAGTTGCTCGATTTTTGCAACTCCAACCTTTTCAATTAATTTTTTATTGCTTTAAATGTTTTTTTTTATAGATAAGTAAATTTTAAATGAAAATATGGTAATTATATTTAAGATATAATTGATAATTATATTAATGAAAAATGTTTCTCTTGCGATAAAATTTAAAAGTTTTTCTCATGTCTTAATGATGATGATGGTGACACTTTGAAGATAAATTCCACAATAAGTTAAAAAATAAGAAGTAAATTAATGTAATAAAGTTATTTTTTTTTTCTATTATATAAATCTTTATGTTTTCAGCAGGCCACTGCTAACTTTCATTAGCCTGCTGAAAAAAAGCCCATGAAGAACATAGAGAAATTAATGGACTATTTTTAAGATTGTAAAAAGTCAATAGGTAATTTTTATCAGCCAAAATATTTTTATAATGTTAATTTACTAAACACTAGATAATCCAGTAATTATAAATATTTTATTGATATTATAATTAATATATACCAAGTTTTATTTGAAATAAAAATTTTCATGATCATTTGTAAAACTAGAGATTCTTTTTTTTGTGTGTGTCGTTTAAAGTAATTTTGTGTGTGTGTGTGTCATTTAAAGTAATTTTGTGTGTGTGTATATGTGTGTGTGTGTCGTTTAAAGTAATTTTGTGTGTGTGTACGTGTGTGTGTCATTTAAAGTAATATTCATGCTTTAAAATCACCTTTTTAATTAGTCTAACAGCAATTTCTTTTATTTGGGGAACTACATCATTATGTGCTCAAATAGCATCAATTTTTTTTTACTAGTTATTTATTAATAGATAAATTGTTTTTCTTTTTCTAAAGATAGATTTAGTTGTATACATTTTTTGTAAGTAAATTTTTTAAATGATTTTTTATCCTTTTGAAAATATTTACCTGCATAAAAAGGTCAAATAACAAACTTGTGATTTCAACTGTGTTGTACAATACTATGGTTACATAGTAGTTAAATAATTTAGTGATCGGAATAACAAGCAATAATTAAAACTAAATAGTTTTAATGATAAAATGTTTTTATTGAACAAACAATAAAATTAAACAAAATATTCAGTTTAATAAGCACCTTTTTTTTTAATTCTCAAAGCGATTTCTATTTAATATAGTAATTTCATCATTGCAAATACCCATCTGATTGTTCTAATCTTAATTTAACCCTTGACACAATTTTTTCATCTATTACAATCATTAAAATCAGATTATGCGACATTATAATAAACTTTTTTTGAGGCAGACATAAGATAATGTTTGCATTTTATTATGCAAAATAATACTAATATAATAGAGTTCAAAGTTTAACACTTTTAATCAGATAATTAAAAAAAATTAATTTGTGAAAGCATTAATAAAGTGAATTAAAAGTTATTTGTTGATCATTTAAAGAATATAGTAAAATAATTTTTTATCCAAAAGGCCCTTCTAAAAAGCTTAAGGTCTATGCAGGATTTCCCGCATAGCCTCTAGCACCAGGCAACTGTTTGTCAGTTATTCAACAAATTAAAAACATTTTTTTTATAATACAATGTAATCAAAATAATCTTTATTTTTCCTCTTTTGTAACCATAGTAACCATATAATCATAATCATTTTATTTCAAGGGTAAAGATTAAGCTCAAAATAAAATTTAAATGTTTTGTAACCATAGTAACCATAATCGTTTTATTTCAGGGGTATTGATGTAGTTCGAAATAAAATTAAGATGTTTGCACAGCAAAAAGTTACATTACCACCAGGTCGACACAAAATTATTATTCTTGATGAAGCTGACAGGTGAAATATTATTTAGTATTGTAAAAAATAAAATAAATTTAAGAAATGAAGTATTAACCCTTTCACTCCCTGAGTCTGTGATCTAAACGCGGTTTTATAACGTATTCTGTAATGTTATTTACAGATATGGAAAATAGAATAATTATTACATCATAGGCTGAAAACCGTTTGTCAAAATTTATCTTAGTTCAAAAGATATAGCATTTTAAAAAATGGCTAGTTTTAAAAAAACTTAATAAAATATGGAAGAAATTTTAAAACTAGTTATGAATGATAGCAGCAATGATATGGACCTTGGTGAGTTAACAGTCGATGAAAGCGAACCTGAAACAGATTGGGAATATGAAGAGGAAGATATAGAATTTATTGTAGCTCCTAATTTACCTTTTCCTGATGATTTTCAGAACAAAAACTGTACTTCCTTATCAGACTTTTGTCAAATAATGCAGGTTTCTAAAATGGAAATCATTAAAAAGGAGGAAGAAGAAATTGAAGAAAATAGTAGTAAGGAAATGTACCCTAAAGGAACAATGAGACCCTTTTTCCTGATCAATTATTTTGTTCCAACAGAAAAAATGGTTTAGCAAAACCAAAAAGAGTAAAAGTTTGCGGTGGAAAAACAGTGTCAATAATAAAAATCAAATATTTCAAGTTACTAACATAGATAAAAAAAAAAATGGTAACAACAATAGAGGTTGTAGAGGAAGGTCATGTAATAAAAAAGGACAACCCAATGCTAGAGTAAATTAATCAACAAGAAATTGATTCAAAATCAACATGGGAGCATGTTTAAATTGATAATGCTGCTGATCCAATTATACCTTTCTTTCTCTAAGTCCCAGTCTACTTCTTTGAAGTAGGCTGGGACTTAGAGTAAGAGTATTGCAAGAAAATCCTATATCTGACACCTAATATTATTGAACTCATAGTTGTCAAAACAAATCATGCTCAAGATTTTCTAGATATGAACCCGATTAAAGCAAGTAACGAATATGTAAGAAATTGAGAACCAGTCACTGTTTTAGAAATAAAAAATTATCTGGCTCTTGTTTTGCTTATGGGAGTTATATATAAACCTGATATTCATATGTATTGGTCTACATCTGATTTTTTTTAGCACTACAATATTTTCTAAAGTAATGTCACGCACTCGTTTTCAACTGATTTTGAAGTTTTTGCACTTCAACAATAACAATGATCCAAATTATGATGTAAATGATGAAAACCGAACGATTACACAAAGAATGACCATTAATTGAACTAATTAGAGACTGATGTAAAAATGTATTCTACCCCGGACAAAATCTTAGTGTTGACAAATCACTTGTTTGCTTTAAGGGACGGTTGCATTTTAAGCAATATATTTGTGCAAAAAGAGCACATTTTGGCATAAAACTTTATGAATTGACCACATCAAGTGGAATAACACTAGATTTTTTGGTATTTTGTGGTAAAGGTACGTTTTATGAAGATGGAAATGAGGATATGCCCAGAGTTTTTATAATAAACCTTTAATTTTTTCACTAGAAACTAGTTAAGTGATTGCTAAACTGTTCTTAAATAAGTTTTATTTGTTTATAACATAATATTTTGATTTATTTTTGGATTTTACTGCAAAAAAGCAAAATTTTGAATTATGTTGAAGGCCGTTTTTTAAGTCGTGTGACATCTTACAAGTGTGCTAAGTAATTTTTTTTTAATTATTAAGTTCAATCAATATGTTAGTAAAAAAGGGGCTAAGTTTCTCAGAGATTTGCTCATTATTTTAGTCATTGCAAGGTTTCAAAGTGTTTAAGTCAGAAACAGGATTTTCTACTCTAGGAATATAGCGGTAAATATCTTGGGAGTGAAAGGGTTAAGTTTCTTCTCAAAAGTTTTTTTTTTTAGTTTTTTGTTTATCAAATATTATATTTGTGTCTTGAGAATTTTGTTGAAAAATTACTTTTTTACAAAAAATTACTTTTACAAATTGCTAATTGCGTCTACTTTTAACCCACTTTTTTTTAAATGTGATGAAATTTTTGCTTTTAATGAAAAAATAGTAGAATAAAAATTCTTAATACTTTAGCATGACTTCTGGAGCACAACAAGCTTTACGACGAACAATGGAACTTTATTCAAAAACAACTCGTTTTGCATTAGCATGTAATCAGTCTGACAAAATAATTGGTAATTAAATCTATAATTATTAAATATTCTTTATTTTATAAGTTCAGAGTTGGGTAATTCCATGTCAACTGAGCCAGAAAATTTCAAAAATGTCACCATACATCTCAGATTTTGCTGATTTTTATACAGTCGAGAGTACTTAGTAAAACAAAAATCCTTGAAAATTTTAGCTTCTAGCTCCAAGAGGATCATGAAATATGATCATTTTACTTTTAACTGATATTGGCCAGGCCCCTCTTGTCCCCTCAGAAGTGTGACCTTTGTTTAAAGGTTCCAGGTCACATAGCTTAAAAAATATTTGATCTTTTGACTTAAAAATTTGTACCTGGCTATTTTCCGGGTCAAAGAATCCAATGAAATAATCAGAAATGTAAAAAAATATTTTTAAGTACTTTAATTATCAATTTAAATAAATTTAGGCAATTTTTTATATACCTGATTTTGGTGCTCAAGAAAGCCATGTGGCCTTGATGATATAAAAAAAAATTGTACACATTATTCTATGTTTAATGATCTTTCAGAAAACATAAAAATTTTGATCTGCAAGTATATGGTTTTCCATATATGGTTAACGGGGCACAGGCCCCACTATTTTGTAGCGGAATCTTGCCATACATTTTTCACTACCTTTCAGACTAGCTGGAACGATGAAAATTTTGGTATTTATGTAGTGTCAATAAATGTGCATTTTAAAATTAAAAAAGGGCTCAAGATACTAGGGGAGGGGGCTGAAGGTATGTGCCCCACTTTTTTGACTAGAATCTTGAGATGGATTTTTCAGTATCTTCCAGACTAGTTGGAGCTTTGAAACTTTCAGCATTTGTGTAGTCTTGATGAACATGCATTAAAATTGTTTCAGGTCAGACTACCAGAAGGTCCATGGGGCTGGGGCACTGGGGACCATGACCCGCTTATTTTCTCAAAAAAAAAATTTTTTTGAGAAAACAAGCGGGTCATGTAAAAATTTTTTTTTTTTAAAACACATGTGTCTTAAATTTAAGATAACTTTGAAAATATTGTATTCAAAATTTTTATTGCTTTATGCTTGTTCCGTTTTACTTCATTATTTACAAAATAAAATTCAAAAAAAAGAAAATGTCAAGATAATGCTAAAATTAGCTTAGATGCATCGACGGTCAAAGTATACAAACATCCATTTGTTGTTACAGGTGCATCAATTATACAAGTTATGTTGGTAATTGGAACCCAACACTTATCTCCTCTAAATGGCCAGGAAAGTTTATTAAAAGGACTGTGCAAGTGCATAAACGTTACCATAACATCTTGCTCTATATTATCAATTTCATTGATCATACCAATCCAATCAAACGCATCATATTTACACATAATGAATTCACCAAATTTCAAGGCATCAATGTTAATTTTCTGATCATTTTGAGAACTTTGAATACCAGAAAAAGAAAAAATGCCTGTTGTATGAACATCTTCACTTGTTCGTTTAAAGCTAATAGTATCTATAGATTCTGATTTAAATTGATGATAGCTCCTAGTTCCAGGGATTGTTCTACTTAGCTCAAAACGTGTTTTCAAAGTGGTGCGCAATTCTGTCAGTCTTTCTTTTTCAATCTTGAAAAAAAATAATCCCTTTAATATTGTACAGTAGTCAAAGTGATAGATTAATGTTGTTCTGTCTGTTTTCTGCCACTGATTGAATGACACCTCATCGTCATTGTCATTGTCAATTAGTTGTGCATCCAGAAACTTCTTTAAAGAAACTATACCTGGACAGTTTAGACATCGATGAACCATGCACTCGTTACTTGTCACATCACAAACAACTTTTGTCATCATTTGTAAGTACATTTCATTTGTATAGGATTGGTCAAAAGTATTGCATTTTGATGGAGGGTACATACACAAACAGAATGAGTGCCTGATGCTCCAACAGTTATACACCATTTTGGTCTTAAACTGCAAAACTTAGAAAATCCAATAACTTCTTGAGGGTATTTAGTTTTAAAAGAAACATAAAGTTCTTTAAGATTACATAAAATAAGGCGCTTTTGCATGTGTTTTTTTCTACCAATACTTACGTAATCTTTTTTACCAGGCATTTGTCTAGTGAATTCTTCATCATGGTATATATTGTTGACTCTATTTAATGTTATTTCTGAAAATGTTTTTCCTTTTTTAGTGCCTGGAACTGAAAAAAACCCACTTATTATCTTTAGTTTGCGCGCTTCTTTAATTTGAAATATAGTGACGTTGACCAAGACTTGGGTGTAAATGTTAACAACTGAATTTTAGTTTTTTGGTCAGAAACAATTAACTTTTCTTTTATTTCTGCTGTTAGTTTGTCTAAATCATTTACTTTTGTCAATAATTTTCGTATGAGGAATTTTATGTTTCAGTTCTTCTTCTCTAACATTATATACTTTTAAAATATGCTCTTCATACTTTGACATTATTTTTATAACTTTACTTTTAGCAACAGATAGCCGTTGATGCTTTGAAATGCCATGAAGTTTTATGGGGGATACACCTATTGTTTCCAAACTAACATTTAATGCATCTCGTGACTTTTCAGAAGTAGCACATGAAATAGATTCCTCAAATTCACAATTATCTTGTTCATGAAATTTACTGATTATAGCATCAAAGCAGCTCTGACAAAGTTGATATCCAGGCACAACATTTGGAAAATTAATTCTCAATTGTTTTGCCATGTCTAATGTTATTATATGACTCCCTGAAAAGAAAAGAACAATTTGATTTAAGTAGTTACCTATGAATATAAAAATTATTTGTACTTATTTCAATATATATTGCATAACCAGATCAGCTTTTTTTCAAACTTTTATAAACTAGTAGATTTTAATTTCATTATTCAAAAAAGATTTTACAATAATTTTATCAACAATATTTACCTTTGATTGCTTTTTTTTTTTTGATTTATGCTTGTCCAATAAATTACAACATTTTTTGTGCTTCTTTTCAAAGTGTGTACCAAAAATCTTTTCATGATGAAGGCAGATTGTTAAAATTTTATCATCTGTTATTCCAGATCTCCAAATAAATTCTTCTCTAGCATCTTCTCTATAGCAATCAAATTTCTTTAAATCAATCTTTCTACAATAACTTAGTTTATGACAATGAATCCATTCTTACTGTAACACTAAAAACATTTTGAGATTAATTTAAAAATGAGAAACCAATAGTAATTAATTCAATGTAAGCAACTTAAGCAATCACCATGGTAATACAAAACTAAACAGTAATTGATTTCTTTTATCTTACTTTGACAAAAAGAAAGTTTCCATTTTACAAAGTTTAATTATAATCAATTTGTTAATGTTAAAAATGTTAATGATGACTTTAATAGGTAACAAATTTCTTCTATACTAGTGTAATGACAGGATGTTTTTTGTTACTGTGAATAGTTCTTATTTAATAAAATAACTTGCTGTTAACACTTTAGAATTAGCAAATATCAAATAAAAAATTGATTTTGAAAAATTGATAAATTTCTTTTTTATTGATGTAATGTTATGACAGGATGTTTTTTTCTGTTGGTAGTTAATTAAACAACTTGCTGTTACCATTTTAGCATTAATCTTTTTTAATTAAAATTTTAAATTATACAAAATAAAATTCTGTTAAAACCATTATTTTAGACTGTTTTTAATCTTATACATGCAAATCAAAATTCTTATAAACATTAACTTTCTTAAAACATTTTAAGAAAGATCATTGAACATAGAATGATCAAAAACCAAATTGAACAAATATAAATCACAAAAATTTGTGAAGCAATGTTATCAAAGATATGTTTAACGTTGTTAAAAATGAAAATCTAAAAAAAAATTTTGAAGACAATAGTTTCAAAGTTATCTTAAATGTGTTAAAGAAGAAAAAAAATTTTTTTTTTTTGAAAAAATAAGTGGGGCATTGTCCCCGGTTCCCCAGCCCCATGGACCTTCTGGTAGTCTGACCTGAAACAATTTTAACGCATGTTCATCAGGACTACACAAATGCTGAAAGTTTCAAAGCTCCCGCTTGTCTGGAAGATACTGAAAAATCTATTTCAAAATTCCGGTCAAAAAAGTGGGGCACATCCCTCCAGCCCCCTCCCCTAGTGTCTTGGGCCCTTTTTTAATTTTAAAATGCACATTTATTGACATTACATAAATACCAAAATTTTCATTGTTCCAGCTAATCTAAAAGGTAGTGAAAAATGTATGGCAAGATTCCGCTACAAAATAGTGGGGCCTGTACAATTTTTTTTTTATATCATCAAGGCCACATGGCTTTCTTGAGCACCAAAATCAGGTATATAAAAAATCGCCTAAATTTATTTAAATTGATAATTAAAGTACTTAAAAATATTTTTTTACATTTCTGATTATTTCATTGGATTCTTCGACCCGGAAAATAGCCAGGTACAAATTTTTAAGTCAAAAGATCAAATATTTTTAAAGCTATGTGACTTGGAACCTTTAAACAAAGGTCACACTTCTGAGGGGACAAGAGGGGCCTGGCCAATATCAGTTAAAAGTAAAATGATCATATTTCATGATCCTCTTGGAGCTAGAAGCTAAAATTTTCAAGGATTTTTTGTTTTACTAAATACTCTCGACTGTATAAAAATCAGCAAAATCTGAGATGTATGGTGACATTTTTTGAAATTTTCTGGCTCAATTGACATGAAATTACCCAGTTATTATTTAAAAATTGACAATTATCAAGTAAATATAAAATTAATTTATATAGTTAATAATTACTCATTTATAGTAATTATATAAACAAATATTTAGTTTATGAAAAAATCAGTTTAATTAATATACTTATGAATATGATATCTAATACTTCATTACACTTTCTATTTTCTACCTCTTAATTCCATTTCAACCTCTATAAATTTCTAATCTATGCGATAATTTATATATTGTTTTCTACCGTTTTTTAATCTGTTCTTGAATGAATTATTTGGGCTGGTTCCTTTAATGTTGCTTTTTCACTTTTAGATAGGATCGAAAAAATGCATTATAAGTTTAGTTAAACCTAGTTTAGCTATCAACCATGAACTTTTTTTCCATGGTTGCCGCTCAAACAAGCTTTATCCATCAACCAAAACACAATCTTTCCTAATTTTTTATTCAGCAAGGTCCTTTTTCTTTCCAAGCATCCTTTTTTCAAGTGTCGACATATTTCTATAAACTTCTTTAACTATTTCTTTGCTTTCTCTTCTTTATA